TGGAGGCTCGTTATGGCGACTTCTCTTTTTCGGTTGCATCTTTCAAACTTGGGTTGATGTTTGCTTTTTTAGAGCTTTAAAAAGTCTTTTTATGTATATTTTTTTATTGAAAGTTCTTTGAAAATTACGAGAACCAATTTAATTTTACGTATTTAACCAAATTAAACTAATTTGTAATGCTTCGTTTTTTAACTGAGAATTTAAAAAATCTTCACGCACCACAAAATATAACATGAGTAATTTATAAAGATACAATATTTTTTAAAAAGTTAATTATTAGTGTAATTATCATTCCATTGTATACATTGTTGCAGTATTGGTAATAGTTCGTTTGATGTTAAGTTTTCCATTTTACGATAACGTCTGTTATATGCTTCAATATGTAGTATGATATTACAATATTACTATTTAGCCATTTGAATGTGGGTAAATAACGGTATATTGTCTAATAATTAAGAAATATTTTTCAAAAGTATCTAGGTTTGAGTTCTGATAGTAATACAAAAACCGCAAATCACTTTTTTGAATTCTCGTTCCTTAACTGTTTTTAGATAACTAAGAGCGTGTGGATGTATTTATAACAAATGCTTAAACTATTTTACGACAACCTGTGTTCTGAGAAGTTTTTTTTTTTTAGATTATTGGATTTTAAAACGTGATAAACGTTGTTATAATAACAAAAATGATTCGTTTAAGAAAGATATTATTTCAGCACTTAACACTTATATGAGAATTTTCTTGAAGTATCAACCAGAACTTAATTATTTTATAAATATTAAGTTCGAGATGACACTTCAAAATAACTTTATCCCTCAAAATTGCGGGAATATTCATTATCCATCCAAACGATCTCACTTATCTCAAAACCTTCTAATGTCTTCCTAAAATTGTTCTGAAGATTCTTCCCCACTCTCCCTAAGAAAATTTCGAACCACACCCTTACGTAGCATCCACAATTTAGATCCCCCTGCATGTTGATGGAAACTCGGGGCTGTGCGGTTGCGGGGGCCCATTCGGCAGTGATGCTGCTGGCCTCTTTCTGGGGGTGGGTCGGAGGATACCTCAGGTAAAAAGGGTGGTGTGGGGTGGGGTGGTGCAGCACAGGTGTGGCCCACCATCCATTGATCGGCGGTTTCATCCACTGCATCTGGTGGTGCAGCGACCAGCCTAGTCTTCTGTGTACAGGATGGTTGCTAGGTTACGATTTCGATGCCAGAAGAGGCAATGTTCCAAAAGCCCCACAATCATCATCATACTCTTTCTATTCGGAACATCTTGTGAAGGGGAGGAAGCACCCCATCTCTTCTTTTCATTTTGGATGAAATTAAATTGTTTGGGATAGAAAGGGGTGTGGTTCGTTTGCGGGAAGAATCTATAGAAACTTTTGTGGCCGAGGAATCTTTGGAGCATTCCACATATGATGAAGTTCATGTCTGTTTGAATAACATAGAGGTAACGCGATCTATTTTTAATCCAGACTATAGTAAAACACACATATTGGTGTTTTGAATGAATATTGTATTTTATTACGAATTGCCTTTTTTTATAGTTGAAGAATTTCAGATTTAAATGCAAAGTTTTAAATTATTAATTTATTATGGTATAAGAAATGTTTGTAATGAAAAGTTTAGGTTGTCACTTACATTGGTAGAGAGTAGGATATGGTATCTTTTTTCTTAGTTAGGGAATTTCAGATCTGAATATATTTTTAAATTATCAATTTATTATGGTTTAATAAATATTAATACTGAAAAGGTTATGTAGTCACTGACTTTGGTAGAGGGTAGGATATAGTGCCTTTTTTTACATAGTGAGCGAATTTTAGATAAAGAATATTATACTTCATTATTAATATTATATTTCAATATGAATTGCTTTTCTTTACCATTGGAAAAATTCAGATCTAAATACATAATTTTAAATTATTGGGGCTTAATAGATGCTAATAATGAAATAGTTAGGTTGTCATTGACGCTGGTAGAGAATAATATTTAGTGCCCTTTTTCACTTTTTATGATAGAAATGTATATTTTTAAATTATGATTTGAATTATGTTATAATAATGAGATAATTAGGTTGTCACTGACATTTAACGCAATAGAAAAGAGGATACAAAGAAATGACTGAAGAGTGATTCTCTAGTATTCTCTTTTAACTATTTTAAGAATAGTTTAGAAAGCTTTTTAAGGTAAACAAGTAATTGATTAATTTTAAAACATGTTTAACAATTCTTTAAAGAAAATACAACATTTTTATCACGACTTGCGGTAATTTACAGTTGAAAATTGAAATACATAAAATTTTTGAATGAAAGTAAGTTTAAATAATTGCCTGTTTTGATTTAGAACAGTAAATCAACAAATAACGAATTAAAGTGGAATTAGTTTGAGGAAATTATGTGTTTATATATATTTAATGTAGTTTCCTGCTTTTGGAAAAGAAAAAAAATATTTTTAGTCTTTGCTCCGAAAAGTATTCTCTAAATAAACTGCATGTGAGTTGTGAGATATGTTGACATGGAAGTATATTTTTATTTATTTATTATTATTATTATTTTTTTTTGTCATTTCAAAATTATTGAGTTTTTCTTTTTTCAATTTTATAAACGAAACTATTATACGCACCTTTGTATGGGGAACCATGGCAACCCAACTGTAAACAACAGTTTTATTTTTTTAATCTAAATTTCAAAATTTCCTTATTTTAACCCAGTAAAAAATATTCGTTTTTCTTGACAATAAACTTGTTTCGCAGTTTTATTTATACGATGTTCAAAACGGTAAAATAATTGCTGAAAAGCTAGGACAAGTATGGAAATTAATCGTAAAATGATTTGAAAAAACGTAAAGTTATCCTATGATGAGCTTAATTGAATGGCAAAAACTAGAATTTGAATTGACGGTTTTAATCCGTTTATGATCTAGATGAAAAATAGAGAAAAACCATTTTGTCAAAACAGCTTTACACCGTCTATACAAAGACAGTCCATAAAAAAAAAGAAAGAAAAAGTTTTTTTTTATTTTTACATTTTGCGGATAATGGTTAAAAACAGGGAAAAAACTGTATTTTTCTTCAAATTATTTCTTTCATTAAAGGAAAAAAATATGTTTTTTCTCCTGTACAATTTACAGTTATTTTTTAACAATGTATAATTTACTGCTACCTTAAGTAAATCATTTTTTTTTTTATCTATCAGCATATACTTTTTACATTTTTTAAACTATTGATTTTTATATTGAACCATAATATCGTCGAAATTTGTCGCAACCGTAAAAAAATGAGAAGTTGACTGTGAATTTTCCATCTTGTAGCGGAGTTATTAAAATTGGAAAATATTCAAATGAATGAAGTAAACAATTTCTTATGAAGCAGCAAATACTGTTTTTATTTTTAAAGATATTCACTTTCATCTTTAATCATGTTATATATGAAATGTGCTACAACCATAATACAGTGACAGCTGCTTTTCTACATATATTTTCGCGTAGTAATAGTTATGAAAAATTCAAACAAAGGTTAATTTTTTTTTCTTGATAACTGCGTTAAACATTTAGAAATTGTGTTATCAAGAAGTTGCTGCTAGAATTCGAAATTCCTTTGTTATTTTTTTTTTCAACGGTGGCTTTTTCAGTAATTAGCCGAGGAGAAAGATGCGATAAGATCAAGATGAAAGTTAGTATCTTCTTTAGCATGCAAGTCATCGTTCTACAATCCTTCTTTATGTTGATGTTTTTTCAGTGTGCCGCATACAATGACTGGAAAAATAAATTCTATTTCCTATTTCTAATGTGTTACAGTAGTTACGAAATAAAATTTTAAAAAAAATAGTGTGTTTTAAAAAACAGTACTCGTTTCAGAGAGAAAGAGCAAGGGTGTTGAATTATGTTCTTTTATGTGCAGAATTCGCAATTAGTCTGAAGGGATGTTAGAAGGAAAATAATTCTTTTATGCGTAGATTTCACAATGTGTTTGTTTGATTACATAAAAAAAGCAATCTTATAAGAATGGAAACAATTAATCCGTTGCAAGTTAATAATTAAATCGTTATTTGTATGATATTCAGCAAATTTATATTAAGCTATACTTGAAATTTTTACTAATGTAATGTATAAACATAAGCCACTTAATTTTTTTTTTTTTTTTTTTTTTAGACAGACAGCAAACAGATTGGGAAATACCTCCGCCATCTTGACTTTTATGATTATTACAGGTGTTATTGTAAATTTTTTTTTTGCTTCAGTTTCTTAAACAATCATTTTTGCCATAAATTTTACAACTATTTTTGCCATAAATTTTTAATCATTTTTTTTCTTCATTTTTTCAGACCCTTTTCTTTTTGTAATATTTAAAATTATTAGTGCGCTAAAAACGAAAAAAAAAGTTAATTAGTCGGTATAATTAATTTTTTTAATATATTTTTAATAGGCGTAATCATTTGACAGAAAATAACGCCATAACTATGTTATTACTTTTATTTAAATTTTAAAATGCTAACTCTTTTGTAAGCAGAAATTGATTATTCATTATCAACATTTATATATCTACTTTGTTTTTAAAATAAATGAATTATACATTAAAAAGGATTGCATAATACTTTTATTATTGAAACAAATGAAACTAAAGGTATATGATTATGTGTTAATATATATCATTATAAAAAAGTAGTTTTTTTTTCGATTTTCCAAACTTATGCCTTAAATTCTCTTTAAAATTCTGTGCTTAAGTAGCCCAAAAATGCTTTTAAAAAAATCTGTAGTTTAAAAATAGCAATCCGAACATATTTTTTTTAATTGTGCGCTTGGCGATCATTCTTTGAAGGGGAGAGTACTTGAAATCTTGGGTGGGTTTTGGGGGTGAAGAGTGTTTGACTTAGGTTAGAGAACGAAAGTTTTTTTTTTCTCTCTATGCTTCATTAGTTTATGCATATATTTGTAATAGCTATATTTCGAAATGTTAAGCTTGAAGTTGATTAATATATCTTTATTTTGTTTTTCTTTCAGTTGCTATGACATCACTACAGAAAGACATTTCAATTCAATCTCAGAGACCAAACGGCAATTCTTTCGGTAATTGGTTTTATTTATTTCTACTAATTGAAATAAAAAAAGAATGTAAACGTTTTTAAAAAGAACATTTTATGGTTTAGATAAAAAAAAAACATGTTTTTATTTATGCTATAGAAATATGGAAATCTAAGGTTTAAGGATTGCGAGCCAAATAATTGTAATAGGAATAAGAAGAATTTAGGGCTAGAATTAAAAAAAAAAAAAAAGGTTTCTTTAATGAAAATAATTGTAATAGGAATTCGAAAACCTAATGAATACAACGAAAAAAAAGAACTGTTTTGATGTGAAATAGTAACTGTAATACGAATAAAAAATCTTTATAGTTAGGATGAAAAGAAAAAAAACTATTATTAAAAACCTTATTAAAAATTATTGTTAAAAGATTCCTTTAAATAAAAATACAACATATTTAATAGTAAATGAGTGTGGGGTTGGGCTATCGACAATGTTAACAGGTACCTCTAGAAGAATCAAATTAACATGCCTTATATGCTAGTGAATGGGAATTTAATAATCGTGAGGTAGTTACGCTACTTTACTCCCCTACCTGAATTTTATCTGTGATTGAATTAAAGGAACGGGTGCCAATAGTTGTTTAATTGCGGTTGTAAGAGAGGTCGGGAGAGCTGTATTAAGACAGTTGTTAGCGTGGTAACTGTGTTGCTATTAGCAGTCGAGTGGGTGCAGGCTGTGCTGTGTGTGACAGAGACTGAGTAACAATAGCGTGAGGAGGACGATATAGCAGTCACAAATAGCAAGTCAGCTGTTCACTGTGTTCTATCTATTAAACTAGGTTCATATCGAGGTGGGCATTTCTGTCGAGGTAAGCATGTTCAGATCACGTTCGGGTCACCAATTTGAGGTTGGGCGATCGATAATGCCAACTGTCATCTTTCAGAAGGTACGTCGGGATAGAATCTAGTCAACATGTCTTATATACTAGTGAATGGGAATTTAATAATTGTAGTGGTAGTTACGCTACAATCAACATATGAGGTGTTTAATTTTTTGAATAAAAAATTCTTCTGTTTTGCTATTGCAAAAAGTAAAAATGTTTATTTAATTATTATAATTCTGTTACTTACGTTTATGCTCATTTTAACTAAAAAGTCATTTATTTTTCATATTAGTTGTAGAATTTGGCTCTTCCATGAATCAAGAAGAAGAAGAAGGAAAGTCAGAAATAGTACAAGAAGAAATAATTGAAAATAATATGATGAATGAAGAAGAACTAGTAAAATCTGAAGCTCAGGTATGACATAATTTTATTTATCTACTTTTTAACTAATTCATTTCCGTTATTTATAGTTATTTTTAATTTCTAGATTTTACTTCTAAATCTAGGGTTGGCAATAGCAAATAATTAAGTCTCTAAATATTTTTAAATTACATCTTTTCACGTGGATGCCACTCCACAGGAAGTACCTAGAAAATCACCTAAAATAACAGGGAATTTTGAAATTTTTTTTACAAACTGGGAAAATATAGGAATTTTTGTTTTTAAAAAATGGTGACCATTTAAAACGCAATTTCTGTATATTTAAGGATGATATTTCAGCTTTACTAAACTATTTCATTTACTATAACATTATTAATTTTAAGTATGTTCAAGTTTTCCCATTAATTGAAACTAGTATAATTTCCCAATATAGCTAGCTCGATTTGTGCATTTTTGTATAGCCAATATAGCCATCATTTAGTGATTTGTGTTTCCTCTTAATATATTGTATATAATATGAACATGGAAAACATGGGGAATTATTTTTCCGGATTTAAGAGGCATCCATGTGTTAAGTTTTAAAAAAAAAATTAACATTTTTGTAAAATTTACTATTATTATTTATTTATTTCTTTTAAAAAAATTGCTTACCCAGACAAAGTTTGAAAACCCTTTTTCACATTATCTGAAACGTATTAAAATTCCGAATAAATTATAGTTTAATTTTACTTAAAAAACTTTGCCTTTTTTTGAGCAATTACTGATTTTGGATATTTTAATATTTCGTAATTGTTTTTGGTAAGAAATAAGGTTAATGTTTAGATAAACTTTTATTGTCAAATATTATAGTAATTTCTAAAAAATTTAGAATCAATCTAATTTTGTTTCCTGAAACAGTGGTTTTAGTTTATGCAGATAAGGGAAAAAAAATTGGTATCTATTTTGTGATTGGCCTGTACTTCAAAATATTAATATATTTTTAAAAAGTTCCAAAGAAACTCTGTATTTAGATGTTATTTTTGAAATGGTATAAAAAGGGATAAGTCCGAGATAAAAGTTATAAATAAAACATCTAGTGAGCATTTTTTAAAAATTAAAATCATTTTGAGGAGATTAATTGAAGAAACCATTTGAATATTACAAAAGCAATTATTAAGTTGCTTATTTTTGCTGACAAGGGGGTGTAGGAGATGAGAAATCCGTGTGTAAAACACTAAGAACATCTTATTTTCGTTCTTTTAATTTATTTTGGAAATTTGAAGTTAATGTTGGAAAAATTACAAATTTAAAATAAAAGATAAGGTTGGGAAAATGAAAAATGAGTAAAAAATTATTCCAGGAGTTTTAGAGGTCAAAATAAAAGGTAAGGTTGGGAAAAGGGAAAATGAGAAAACATTATTCCAGGAGTTTTAGAGGTCAAAAAAAAGGTAAGGTTGGGAAAATATTATTTCAGGAGTTTTTGAAGTCAAAATAAAAGGTAAGGTTTGGAAAAGGAAATATGAGTAAGAAATTATTCCAGGAGTATTAGAGGTCAAAAGTGTTGATCACAGAAAAATACAAAAGATTCCTGAAAAACATTCTACAAAATTTTAAATATCAAATTAAAGCTTTTTTTTTAATGCTAATTAGATCCTTCATTTGATTTAATCCCAAAATTAAATAACTGTTGTTGACATCAAAGTTAACGCAAAAGATGAGGGGTTATTTTTACTCAAGCATGGAGGGAAGAAGGAGGGATGTGATTTGTTCATTTTTACTGAAAACGGGGAAGGAATTAAAAAAAAATTTCAAAACAGGCTTTGGTAATATTATTGTGAACATGTCATAACCTGTAACAACAAGTCAAGAAACAATTAAATGAATCTGATCTTGAAATTAAATGAATTCTAATTAACGTATATTCTTTGGAATTTCAACATGTTAAAAAAGTTTTTGTTTTCTTTTAGGATGAAATTGGTGGTGAATTGTTTCCCTGTTGTAAGCTGTGCGAAAATCCAGAAAAACTATTCTTTCATATAAAACAACACCACGAAAAAGATGCCACCAAATGCGTCCTTTGTGGGAGGGAATTGAGTTCAAAAAGTTCACTAGATAGGCATCTACTAATTCACGCTAAGTGGCAACCATACAAATGCAGTCACTGCAACAAACAGTTTTCAACAAATGGCAACATGCACAGACATAAGAAAACACACAAGGGTCTGTGCAAAGGCTCTAAGTTTAGCCCAATAAAGAGCAGTGAGAAACGAAGGAGGAATGCCGATGAAACTTCAGAGAATGAACAACCAGTCAAAAAGATGAAGTTAGGTTGCAAAGAAAATACGAAAAGTGTGTGTGAAAATATTACAGATACTGAAAACAAAACTGTAGCTTTAGACATTAAAACTTATCCACTTAGCCCAGAATCTCAGCCAGATGTAAACGCACCTGTTGATGATAAAGTGATCGAAACTCTGCAGAGTGTTCCTAGTTCCCCCAGTAAAGAAGAATTCATAACCACATTAGGGTTGAAAACTGCATGCCGATTAGAGAATAAAGCAGAATCAAGTGGAGCTTCAAGCAGTCAATCTGTCAGTCCGATTGATAATGTACAACTGCATGAAAATGAACATGTTGTACCAGAAAGCTCCATAAGCGTTGAAGATGTGAAGGAACAATCCACCAAGAAAGAAACTCTAATAAAGTTGCCTGAAAATGAAACTGTAAACAAGTCAAATCTTACAAAAGTACACACTGTAACTTCTCAAGTCCAGATTGGACAATCAGAACCACCTTTCAAAGAGATAGTGCAAGTAACCAAAGGAAATGTTGACAGGGTTTTTAATAATGTGGGTAGACATTGGTTGCCAGAATCTCCAGAAACCAGTATAGAAGGGAACTTTTTTGATGTAGTGTACAATCCTGAATCTTTGGATGAATGTGAAGAAGATAAACTTCAGCCTCGGTATGTTTGCCAGCACTGTAAAAAGGAGTTTAAGAAAAAAATTATCTTCCAGAAACACTTGATGAAGCACAACAAGCAAAAACCTTTCAAATGCACCATTTGTGGTGCCAAGTTACTCAGTAAGCAGAATGCCACACGGCATGTTGTGAAAGTACACAAAAAGCGGCGAATGCAAGCCAAATTATTAATCGTTGAAAATCTGGATGATGCTCCAAGTTCTGGAACAAAAACTCTGTGTGAATGGTGTGGTCAAGAGTTTACATCCAGCCTCATACTGGAACACCATAAAAGGGCATCTACAGGTTGTCAAGCTAAGCCTTTTATTTGTCTGATCTGCAATAAAAGTTTTTCCACTAAGAATAATGGTAAAAGGCATCAATTCAAACATCACAAAGATGAACAAGCTGATTGCTGTATTGTGCGCAATGCTATGGCTAAAAATAGTGGAGATGGGAATCCTCTGTCAAGAATAATGGACAGTTCTACTTCCACAAGCAGTATTGCTTATGATGAGGCACCGCAAGAAAGCTCCGTTGAAAGTCTTTTAAGTTCAGAGTCTGAACATCCAGATGACTCTGAGCTTTCATTACCCAAGAAAGAACTGGATGCAGCTCAGAGTCTAATCGACATGTTTTCAAGTCTTCCTCCTCCCAGATCATCAGGAGATGAAAGAATCATTGATCAAACTGATATCAACAGTTCTCCTCCCACACAAGACAATAGCTGTTTTTATTTACATATCCCTGTTAATGTACAAAACAAACCATTAGACTTGTCTGTTCATCCAATGGATTTAAGTTCAAAATCAAATGAAGAATCTGGCAAATTGCGTGCTCACGAATTTAGACGTTTACCTGTTTTCACATTCCCCATTTCATATAAAGACAGAAGCAGCGATACCGGTATATTTCTTGCTAACGAACGCAATTGCATTTCATCTGAAACTCCGCTCAATTTGGTTAAAAAGAAGGAACATAGCTGTAACAATCATTTTAATTCCTCGCTGCATCCATCTGTTTCTTTCCCACCTAATTCATTTGAATCAAGTAGTCATACCTCAATGGAAATTGATGATTCGAGCCAAAAAGAGTGCAATAGTCCTAAGTCAAACGTTTCGTATGAATGCCATCTTTGTTCTATGTCATTCTCAACGAATTCCAACAAACGTCGCCATGAAAAGACCAAACACTTAATGCATTGCAAAGTGCCACAAATTTCGCCAGGGTTCTTCAATACAAAGGAAAAGCAAATGACATCAACCCCGAAGTATGTTTTATCAAAGAAAACCAAAGAAGCTCTAATCACAAAGGTCAGCAGTTTGAAATCCGTGGAATTTGAGCCTGTAGATTTTTCAGTCAACAACAGTGTAGCTGCTGCCAATCAGCCCTTGGCAATCATCAGTAATGAATCAGAAAATGGGGATCTTGCCAGCGTATCTTCCCTGATAAGCACGGCGAATTCTCCGCAGCTGAAGAAATACTTGACAGCTGACAACGCTTGTGATGTTACTGCAAGTGAATCCTCCAAAGATGAGAAAGAAGATTCTCCAAAAGCTGTCGATCAATCACTGGGCAGTGCAAAGAGTTCTGGCAAACACTGGTGTGCTGTTTGCAAGAAACAGTTTACTTGCAAAAGTTCTTTCAACCGACATTCTGTGATACACACCAAAAAAAGGGATCACCATTGCCAGGAGTGCAAAAAAACTTTCACGACTAAGTCAAATCGGGATAGACATATGAAGAAGGTTCATAGACTTGTTTTATCACGTGATAATAAGAAACTAGTGTCAAGTAGAAAACAGCAAAAGAAAACTGTAACTTTAGTGCCAACAGAATCACCTACTACAGAGGTGGACGTCAAAGATTCACCACTTCCTAAGGAATTGGTGAATAGTGAGATTTCTCAATGCAATAAGGAAAATCAAAGATTATTCATGCCTAGTTGATTTGTGAACTTTAAAAAGGGATGAAAGGAGTCCCATATTGTTATGTAAATAATGTAATTAGCAATAATGAATAATCACAAATTCCATTTTGAAACAAATGTAAATATTGTAAATCATGTAAATCAAAAAATTAAAACTATCAGAAACGATCTGTGACGTTTGTTTCATTTCTTACTTAGATACATTATTAATATCAATTAATATTTCTAGCTGAGCATTTTCTAAGGAATCGATGAATTGCACTTCCCAATTCAATATTTCTAAACTACTTTTTATTCATACAGTAAATACTTAGCCCTCACTAGAGAAAACTTATTTCAGATTTTAAGCAATGCAAACTTAACACTTTGAGGAATTAAATTTCTTATAAGACTTACTAAGAATCATTTTAGTATAAGTTAAAATTTCTAACTTTACTCTAAGGAATTGATGACTAGTACAAATTAAATATTTCTAGCTTACTTTTTATTCATACAGTATACTATACTAAATGCTCACTGGAGAAACCTTTTATTTTAGATTTTAAACAATGCAAATTTAACACTATGAAGAATTAAATTTTTTACAAAATTTACTTACTAAGAATTATTTTAGTATTAATTAGATTTTTTAACTTAACATACTCTAAGGAATTGATGACTAGTGCAAATTAAATATTTCTAACTTACTTTTTATTCATACAGTATACTATACTTAATGCTCACTGGAGAAACCTTTTATTTCAGATTTTAAGCAATGCAAATTTAACACTATGAAGAATTAAATTTTTTACAAAATTTACTTACTAAGAATTAAATTTTTTAACTTAACATACTCTAAGGAATTGATGACCGAATTAAATATTTCTAACTTACTTTTTATTCATACAGTAAAGACTTAACGCTCACTAAAGATAAACTTTTTTTTTTCAGATTTTAATCAATGCAAATTTAACACTGAGGAATTAAATTTCTTATAAAATTTACTTATATTAATTAATCATTTAGTATAACAATCATTAGTTAATTAATTATTTTAGTACAAATAATATTTCTAACTTAACATTCTCTAAGGAATTGATGAATAGTGCTATTTCTAATTCAATGTTTTTAACTTACTTTTTATTCATACAACAAAAACTTAACGCTCTTTAACAAAAATTTTTATTTCAGATTTAAACCAGTGAAAACCATTTTGAGAAATAAGAGAAACCATTTTGAGAAATAAGAGAATAATTTATTTCTAAAAATGTTTAAAGATGTATGTCTGATTAATTTTTAATATTTCATTTCTAAACAATAAACATTAACTTTTTATTTCATGGTATAAATGCATAGTAAATAATAGCTAATTTGAATCATAGATAATTCTCTCTGACTCAAAAAGATTTGAAATTTCTTTTAATTTAATCGCATGATTATTACTCCTGTAGTTTCCAACGCGAAATATTATTTTTATTTACTTCTAAGATTTTTGTTCAAATTGTAATTTTTTTTAAAAAAAAATTTCATCATGCAATAAAAAATCAGTATGGTTTAAACTGCTAATAGCCCATTAATTATTTTATAATATATCTAGTATTTTATAATAAATGTGAAATAAACCCTGCCTGAAAACTTGTTTTATTTGAAAATTTCATAATATTTTGAAACAAGGAAAATTCTTAAAACCTAATGAAATGTAAAATAACGTAAGATTCTAGGAAGAAATATATTCTATTGGTTGCATTTATGAAAAAATTTGCCGAACGCTAATCGAGTAATACCACTATAAAATTGTCTGGACTTTTAAATAGTTAGTTAAAGGAGGTTAGCGTGGACGATTTCTGTAAATTTACAGAAAAAACTTGGTAATCATTATCAGGAAAATATTTAGTATTTTTTCCCCTTAATTTTGGAGGAAGCACAAAATATTTTGGAAGTTTACCTTTTTAATAATTTTTTTTTTAAAGAAGACACTAGCCCCTAAAGTCTCTGTCATAGTCATATCATGTCATGCCTCCAGTATAGATAAGTTTTAAAATTAATTATTTAATCCAGTATTACATATAAAAAAGTAAGGGAGATGAAACTGAAATTAATTTGAGCCTTTAAAATAAAAAATTAGTATAAAAATCTTGACCATTTTTATTCTAAGTAATATTACAGTTTTATACATCCTTTCAAGTTAGCCTTTTCCTTTTCAGGGAGTTATTTTTCATGAATGTTTAAAAACTGGTGACAAATGTTACGCTTTACCACTGGATTTTCAGTTCAATAAACTTGATTTCCTAAGATTTTAATTAACTAGACTTATAAATCATTTAAACAATATACACTTGATAAGCATGCTGGGAATTTAGGTAGTTGAATAATTAAAAAAAAAAAAACTTATCTACGGCCTTGCACAAAATTGGATTAAATAAAATATTGCGTGTTATAAAAATCGATTTTATAGTCTCTGCGAGTTTATAATCTTATCGAGTTATAGCCCCTGCGAATTCTCTCGGTATTATGTTCTTTACATAAAACAAGGAAAATTATAGACATATGCAAAAAGGGGAAAAAAATAATAATAATAAAAAAAAGGATAAATTTTTTTTAAAAAAATCCGGAAAAAAAAAAGATATAATCTTTTCATCAGCCCACAGGATTATATCCGCAAAAAAGAGTGCTTTCTGATATTGTATCAATATAGCCAAAGCAAAATATATTAATACAATAGTGTGAGGAGGACTCAAAATTTTTTTTTACAAAAATTACAACAAATAAAATATAACACAATAAGTAAAAATAACATGTAAAAACAGAAAATAAAATAAAATAAAATAAAAAGAAAATTATTTCATAGTTTTTCGTCTTATTCATTAAGTTCCCCCCCCCCCACCAGAGACATGTTTTAAAAGCACAACTATAAACGAAATAAACATGCGGTTTTAGATAATTTTAGAAAGGCTAATTCGGTGATGTAGATCGGATCCACGTGTCATTCACGCTGATGAACTTGTGAAAAATAATGAAACATTTAAGAACGTGCGATAAAATCCTAAACAAAATCGTTTGCAATTTTGTTAATAACGCAATTTTATTCATAACAATGGCTGATGTTAACCTAATGCGAAATCATTTTTCAAACATTTCTTCCGAATGAACTAATTAAAATTGCTTATAAATTTTTTCGGATGGGGGATAAATAAAAACCTATTACATGTGTATTTAAATATAAAAGTATTGCATATAAACTCTTGCAGATCATGTAATTATTAAAACACTACAGTGCGTCGAATAATTTTATCTAATTATTATAATATACTAATGTAATACCTAATATAATAAATATTCAATATTTATCTAATATATCGTCTAATTTATCCTATCGTCGAATTTATATTATCTATCGTCTAATTTAACCAATTCATACAGGAACGTAAACAAGTGCAAACCGGTTTCAGTCGCGTAAAAGCAATAATGCTGTATAGTATTACCCGATAATTAAGATACTAAAAGAAAACTAAATTTTTTTTAAATTCTAAACAGATAAAACTTTTTTGAAAAAAACGCGCTAAAAAGCAACAGAAATTTCAAAAAAAGAATAAAAGTAGCAATAAAGGAAGCGAAGAAAATAAAAATATGACCACCGAAGCCGACGTCTTCAGGGGGTACCGGCCCCGGTAGCCATAAAACAAAACGATTTCTATTGAGGGAGAATCTTATCTTATCTCACAACAGAGATGGAAACAATTATGTTCTGATGTCTACTAAACTGAAATGTCCCGAACTCGTATTTAAGGTGTGTTTGTGCTGCCGGACAGATTTTAAATTATTGCAATTATTTAAATTATATTTTAAATTATTTAAAATTGAAATCGAAGTACTGAGTGAAATTAAAGTTTAAAAAAATGTTTTTAAAGGGGAAAAAATGTATCTATAGGAGAACTAAACATAGGAAAAGCATGAAAAAAAAAGTAATGTAAGAAACAATGGCCGACTCGTTTACAGAATAAAGCAAGATGCGCAAATAGGTACAAGTACCAAACTGTATTTTTTTTTGTACATAAAAACATTACAACTTAACTTTTAGGGTCGGACAGTGAGTATGAGGGGCAGAGGGAATTAGCTTGAATAAGGCACCAGTACAAATAAGCTGATCAACTTCAAACTGAAAATAAAACTTCAAACCGGGGAAACTGAAAAATAAATAAATAAAAATTGCAAATTTTTTAAAAGAACATTCGAAAGCTCACCTCTATACATGCCCAATTAGTTTTTATTTTATAACCGTCGTTGAACAGCCGACTAATTTTGAACTTACGACTGCTAATGTTCAACTCCGTAGCCTTGTAATTTTGAACCCAATCCAGAAGACAAGGGAACTCCTGGATCAAGTATTGGGAGAAATTTATCTTGGTGGAGAACTTTTTGAGGAAACCAGCCCGCATTTGCTTAACATAGAGGGGAAAACCTTCCACGGTTATATATATATATATGAGGGATTTCTGTTTTCATAACTATTTTTCGTTTTTTGGGGATGCTGATTAGTTCACATACAAATCATATTAATAGATACAATTTACAAGTTATTTACATACTATTTACAGAAAAATATGAAATCCTCCTCGAATTCTACTGTAATTAGTATGTAAAGTAATCTAAAAATAATTTGTATATAACATCTATTAATGTTATTTTCATCATATGGTTATTCAATTCATATGCTAAACCTGTGCTTCTGCACATAACTTTTCATTTTTTTTATATTTTGTGTTTGTCCTCCCATATTCTTTTAATTCAAGTCACGTTTTTATCGCCTTTTTTGCTACCATATCAGATGGAATCGTCCAGGTGCCTTCGGGCTGGTTCCGACCAAAAAGACAAAAATCTATGTCCATTGAATTATTTTTAATTCTGCGGAAAGTTAAAAAAAAAAAAAAAAAAAAAAACTGTTACTGATTTAGTTATTTACTAGTTAGATTTACATAATTTATAAGAATTTTCAAACTTTCTTTAACAACCTAAATACTTTATGTTTCATTTTTAAAAATTTTCTTTTTTAATTGACCTAGCAGCAAACAATAATACATAATATAATAAATTATAGAATTACTTTGGGCTGTCCATCACAGCATATACGAGTCGTGTTTTTTAAGTAAGTACCGTTTTGCTGCACCGCCGCCGCAGCGTTGCGGTCGGCGTTCTGCGCATGCGCACTGGGTACCTACATCTATTGCCCACGCACTGACGCCATCGCAGTCTGATTCTTCCTTGTTTACGTTGTTTACTGAGTGTTTAAGATGCCTCCGATAACCGTGAGTCCCGCCGACTGTGAACTAAGGGCTGTTATAAGATTTCTTAGTGCTAAAGGCCTAAAACCGATCGATATTCATCGTGAGATCTGTGCAGTTTATGGACAAAACATTATGAGTGATGGAATGGTAAGAAAGTGGGTGAGAGCATTTAAAGAAGGCCGCACAAATGTGCATGATGAACAACGGAGTGGGCGTCCTTCAGTCGTTAATGAAAGTTTGGTGCAGGAAGTGGACAATAAGGTGAGAGAGAACAGACGCTTTACGATTTCCTCCTTGTGTTTTGACTTTCCTAATGTTTCTCGTAGTGTTTTGTATAGCATTGTGACCGAGCACTTGAATTACCGAAAATTGTGCTCACGTTGGGTACCAAAAATGTTGACGGATGTGCACAAAACCAACCGTTTAGGCAGTGCATTGACTTTCCTTGAACGGTACCACAACGACGGTGATGATTTCTTAAGCCAAATTGTTACGGGCGATGAAACATGGGTGGCCTACGTCACACCAGAATCAAAGCAACAGTCCATGGAATGGCGGCATTCAGATTCACCCAGAAAAGTAAAGTTTAAGCAAACGATTTCTGCTCGGAAAGTCATGTGCACAGTTTTTTGGGACAGAAAAGGAGTATTGCTTGTGGAATTTCTGCCGCGTAATGAGACAATCAATGCAGCAGCTTATTGTGAGACATTGAACAATCTGCGCCGCTCAATCCAGAACAAAAGACGTGGCAAGTTGAGGAAGGGCATCGTTTTGCTGCATGACAATGCCCGTCCGCATGTGGCTAATCAGACCAAAGATCTCATCACATCTTTTCAATGGGAAACTCTAGATCATCCTGCGTACAGCCCTGATCTAGCCCCCAGTGACTACCATCTGTTCCTGCACTTGAAAAAACACCTGGGTGGTCAGTGTCTTCAAGACGATGACGAAGTCAAAACAGTTGTGATGCAGTGGTTAAGAAGTCAGGCGGCAGACTTCTATGAGGAGGGTATTCAAAAACTGGTACAACGTTATGACAAGTGCCTCAATGTTGAAGGAAATTATGTAGAAAAACAGATTAAGGTACAGGCTTTCATGTAAAAATAAAAGTATTGAGATATCTTTGCATGTCTTTTTCTAATTTCAAAACGGTACTTACTTAAAAAACAAGCCTCGTATAACGTACGTAACAGGGTACATATATAATATACATAACAAAGTACGCATCACAGCATATAGAACATACGTAACAGGGTACGTATCACAGCATATATAATATACGTAACAGGGTACGTATCACAGCATATATAATATACGTCCACCAAGCCATGTGCTGTTTTGCTTTATAACTCGTAAATACTAAGATCAAATGTCATTATTATTAAAAATATTTTTCTTTTATTTTTTCTTCTCATTTTTTCGTGGTATTCGCTCTAAATTTAATACATATATCGAGCGAGAGTATCTCCAAGCTTTTAATGACAAAAGTTACATTTGCACTAAATAGTAATTCCCTATGATACTTTAAATAGTGGCCTGTTAATATTATGTAATCAGACACTGATTCATTACATAATGTTCTGTAAAAAGATTTTATTCATAAAGATAAGGAAAAAAAGTGCAATAAAATAAATTCTAAGACACGCTTTCTGATTTAAATGATTACGGGGTCCAGGGCACCATCTTCGAAGAGGAAGGATCACCATAATAGCTGGTGATTAGGGGGCGATCGCAATTTTAGATCTATGGCCAATTCGACCCTGGTAACTTCTAAACTATTAGTTCAATTGTCTCGGGCTTGTACAATTTAGCATACAAAACTATGTTGGAAACTAAGTCCTCCATGATCTCCTCCCCACCAAAACCCAGCAAGGTCGTAGAGCGACTTTTTTTTACCTCTAACTATGAGAAGGTTAAGAAACAAATTATCTCAGGTTTTTTCTTGTGCGTGGGTTTTGTTAATTTTTGAGATATCTTTACCGTACTAATTGAGTAACAGTCGCATCTTGTAAGAAATTTTGCCATCGTGGGGGTGCTGGAAGCCCCAAGAATTTGAAAGCTAGAAAAATGACGAATTCAAACAATTTGTCAACATTATACAACTAATATTGATCCATTCAATATTAATAAATGAATGAATTCGTTTTAAAATAACCTATTAATTTTACGTTAAGAGAAATAGTTTTTAAAGAATCTAAAATATCGAAAGAAATTTGCACATTTTCTAATTTGACCTCAATCACCCTTAACTGTATATTGTTTCTCAACCCGATGTATTCGAAGGACTGGTAAAATATTACATTATGGACCTGTAAGGTTAGTAATTTTGGTAAAGTTTTTACAAATACAAAATTGGGACACTTAAACAATTTTTTGACCAGTTTGATTCTGATTATTCACCTACTCTGCTACTCTCTACAATAAAAAATATATTGAACCTGGATTTAAACATAAATATAATTTACATTAATTCCAATAAAATTATTAATCCTCTGACATGCCCTTAAGAAATATCACAAGGTAGCACAGACCCTATGGTAAAAAAAAGAAGTTAAAACAAAGAATTAAAACGATATCAAGATGTCATCCGGCTTCTATGACCAATCAGAACTTTTCTTGCTCTTGTAGGAATCTGGTGGGATTCGTTTTTATGTAGCGAGTCTTGGGAAGAGCTCCATAGAGACGGGACGACTGAGTATTAACAGAGATACACAGAAATTTAATTTCCCTAATATATAATGCTTGTAAATAATTATTATTAGATTTATCTTATGTTGTATGGATCTCACACTCTTTTTTTTGTTATCAATTTCCACTTTTCTTTAATTATTTTAAGCCAATAATCTAAATTTTGATCATGTAGTGCTGCAGTATCATGTTTTGACTATTAGCTCTTGCTCACATATTCAATGCTTGACAATGGAGATATTCCTCTAACCTTTTACCCTGCAGCTTAAATTGGTGTTGCTGTGACTTACCTTCCAAGTGTCAGACGAAGTCAAACAAGGTCCATCAAACCGGTGACCCTAAGGAAAATCGAGGACCCCGATGAGTATATGTCCTCTCAGGAAAGTCCCAAACAGTCCAAGATGTAGTTCGGGAGAAGCCTGCTCAGTTTGACATTTGGAGCAGACCTTTAGGATTCTCATGCCTTCGAAAAACGAGAGACTTTTTGTGTGACCACTTGCTAATCTGGAAATTGTGTAAAATTGGTAAATGGTGCTTTGCACCAATATACCGAGATTATTATCATATTCAGCATCCAAGAGCTCCACAGTAGGAAACATGGCGCTCGTCTATAGTGACGCGGTTCCCACTTAGGATATAGTAGGGGTCTGGATAGACACCAGTTTTTTTTTTAAAATAAAAAATCGTCTAACTGGACAGTCACGTTGAGAGAAAAAGCTAAACATTTCATATCTAATTTTTAAAAAAAAAAACATCCCCTGTTCGTCAATCAACACTTAAACAAGAAAAAAAAAAACATATCACACAAGATCGATAATTTTTTGTTTAAATAATATTAATGAAAAAAAAAAAACGTATTTCATAATTTAAATTTATTTCTTATAAATTTCAATCAAGTTTAACAGTTAGATAAATATTTTCAATAGTTCTCTTTGCTAGTTACTACATCACAATTTGATATAGGTATTTCAACTTTGCCATCATAGCCATTATCTTGAATGGATTCCAGTTTTTGAATATAGAATGAAGGCAAGCAATGTTCCTTAGCACCTTGTATAATCACATTTTTATACATAGGTGAAGGAAGATGATCACTGTTTTCATCTACCTGCATCTGATAAGACTTGCACATTAAAGTTTTTTCTTCACTGCACACTGGAATATAAATTTCTTGATATCCCCTTTCTTGCCTAGAAAAACAAAAATTATTGTTTTACATGTAATAAAAAGAAATTTGATTATCTACTTAAAATAAAAAAATACATATCTGAGTCCTAAGTAAGGGTGCAGTACCAGCAGTCCAAGAATGAAACTCATCTCATTTATCAGGGTGCGTAGCCAAATTATTCAACAAAAAATAAGCACCTTTTAAGCACTCAAAAAATATTTTTAAGAACTTAAAAAAAATATCATAATTAGGCAGGGTTAGAAAGTTTTTGACAATTGTCAAAAATCATCAGGGTTGCCACTCAAATCTGGAAAAAAAATTCCCTGTGTTTTCCCTGAACTATTATACACAATATAATAAAAGGAAACAACAATTACTGTGCTCTTTTGTGAGCTATATAGGGCTAACTATATTTATTACTTTTAATTGGTGGGAAAACAGCTGAACATATTTAAATAATCTTATAGTAAGTGAAATAGTTTAGTATAGCCGAAATATCATGGCTAGATATCCCATAGATTACGCTTTGAGTGGGTACCATATTTTGAAAGACAAAAATAAGAAACAAAATTCCCTGTATTTTCCCAGTTTGCAAGGAAAAAATCAAAATTCCCTGCATTTTCCCTGTTATTTTAGGTGATTTTTAAATTCCCTGTATTTTCCAGGTTTTCCCTGTTCTCCATGTAGAGTGGCAACCCTGATCATGAAATTTTGACTCATGTAAAACACATGGAGTTTTCAAACGCTGAGCCGAACTGACTATGCGTGGAAATAGATTGGGGGTGAATTAATTATAAAAACGTTGAATAGAACAATGTGAACTGTGTCTTTTTGCATAATTCGAAGCGAAAATCAACAAAGTAAAGGAAAAGTCTCATTTTGAAAAAGGGAAAATTAAGCACTTTTTAAAAATACCCAATAAAAAAAAGCACCTTTAAGGGTTTTTAAAAAAGGAAAATAAGCACCTTTTAAAAACGCTACGCACCCTGTTTATAAGTGGCCCATACTTACAAATCAAAAAACATTTTTAAAAAATGTTAAAGAAATTCTTTTTTTTTTCTTTTAAAAAAAACTTCCTCTTTTTGCTTAATTTAGAGATAGACTGCTTGATGATAAACATTTGAGCCTTTTTTAGTGATATTCAGCTAATTACTTTAAAGAGAAAAGTGTGTTTACCACTACAATTATTCAATTCCAATTCACTAGTATAAAAGGCATGTTAACTCAATTTTAAGTTGGAGTACCTTGTTCATAAATCAAAGCTGACATTTTCGATAACACTCGCCCCATATTGGTGATCTGGACGTGATCTGAACACGCCTACATTGACAAACATGCCCACTTCGATTTGAACACACCTTCTTTAATATAACGTCCACATTGAATAGTTGACTCGCTATTTGTGAACGTGACATTGTCCTCATCAAGCTGTTTCTCAGCAGCACATAATGTTGGCCTGTATAATTGCAACACAGGAGAGACCACGATCATGAACATAAAACAGCTCTCACAATCAGCACTCAAAATCCGGTGATCTTAATACAGCTCTTCCGGTTTCTCACAAAATAGCAATGAATCAACTAGTGGTATCCATTCATCCAATTCTATCGCAGATAAAATTCTAGTAGGGGAGTACTGTAGCGTGTCTACAACTTCAATTCCAATTCACTAGTATAAAATACATGTTAACTCGATTCTATGTTGGTGTACCATTTCATAGATGAAAGTTGACATTGGTGATAACACTGGCCCCATAGAGAGAGTAAGTTTGTATTTGCTGATAAATGCTTGAACTTTTTTAGTGATATACTGTTGATTATTTCAAAGATTTTTTTAGTGATATTCAATTGGCTAGTTTAGAAAAAGACTTAGCTTGTGCTTGACAATAAATGCTTGAACTTTTTTTAGTGATATACTGTTGATTATTTAAAAGACTTTATTAGTGATATTCAGTTGGCTAGTTTATCAAAAGACTTAGTTTGTACTTGACAATAAATGCTTGAACTTTTTTTAGTGATATACTGTTGATTATTTTAAAGATTTTATTAGTGATATTTAGTTGGATAGTTTAAAGAGAGACTTACTTTTTGTACTTGACAATAAATGCTTGAACTTATTTCAGTGATATTCTGTTGATTAATTTAAAGGCTAACTTTGCTTGCATTTGCTGATAAACATTTGAGCTTTTTACAATGCTGCCTTTGATTTTTACAATTCTGCATTTCATTCAATGCTGCCTTTGATTATTCTTTAATATTGTTTATGTCACAGATAAATAATTTGGAGATAAAACACTGAAGGGTAGAATTAGACTTTTGAAAGAGAAGGAATTAATTAAAAAATATTGAGATACCAATTATTCAAGATTTAGATTTTTCGTAACACAAAATTGAATTCAAATTTCAGATTTACATTCGTTTTTTAAAATTTATTCAACATATATACAGCACTAAAAAAATCTTGAATATTTATTAGTTACAAAACAATCGAAATTTCATTGAAATAATCAACAGTATATCACTAAAAAAAGTACTAACATTTGCTTTATATGAGTAAACATCATTTACAGAGATGAAAACTTGCACCACTTTGGGGGAAATGTTTTGGTGTATTTTTAATGATAATTAATGTGCCATTAAACATAAATATTTAATAATTTTCTTAAGAAAATCATATCAAAGAAAATAAAAAATTGCCTAGATATACCTATTTAAGGCATCTTCGTGCTCTTTTAAAATCTCCCAAACCACACCCCAGACGGAATCTTTTTCATTCTTAATAATAGTTGCTGGAGCACCTTTCCAAGAATTGGAATACCCGGTAAAAAGCAGCTGGTATTTCTGAAATTAACGTGATTTTAAATATATCTATACCTAAATTATATAAATACAAATTAAAACAAATTTATATACTTTTTAAGTGGTAGCAGAACTTTATTTATGTCACACTAGAGCTGCACAAATTGTACCACAAGTAATAATGACATTTTGTTAATTTAAATTACTTTATTTATAAAATAATTAACATGCTTCTTTTTTTAAACTTGTTCCCTAATTTCATTTTTACAGGCTTAAGGCTAATTACTGTATTCTATGAACAATATTCATTCCCATGTAGGAAGGTAATACATATTAGGGTAATTAAAAAAAATAAATTCAGAAATAGAAAATTTAGAAAAAGATATTATAAGCATCATCAAGGGTAAAAAATTACAGTTGTTGGGCTACTTTGATGAAAATGGGCTTGAATTTAGTATGAAAAAGGTTTATTTATGAAAAATATTTAAACCCATGATGGATGATAATATTATTAGAATTCAGAAAAATTTGAATCTATGAAAATATATTCTGAGCATCATAAAGGCTAAAAAACTACGCTGTTGGGCGACTTTAAAATGAGAATGGGTTTGAATTTAGTATGTAAGGTTTATTTATGAAAAATATTTAAACCCATGAAGGATAATAATATTATAAGAATTCAAAAAAATTTAAAAATAGAGAATCTATGAAAAGATATTATAAGCATCATAAAGGCTAAAAAAAAAAAAAACTACAGCATTTGGGCTACTTTAATGAGAATGGGTTTGAATTTAGTATGAAAAAGGTACATTTATGAAAAATATTCAAACCCACGAAGTATGGCAAGATTAGGAATATTCAAACAAATTTAGAAATAGAGAATTAAAAAAAAAGATATTGCAAATATTATAAAGGCTAAAAAACTAGGGTGGTTGGATTACTCGAGGAGAATGGATTAGGACAGAGGTACATAGAAAATTATTAAAACCCACGATGGTAATATTACAAGAATTCAAACAAATTTAGAAATACAGAATCTGTGTAAAGATATTATAAAATTCATAAACGTTAAAAAAACAACAAAAGAATTACAGTTATTGGACCACTTAATGTGAAAGGATGAGGACAGAAGTATATAAAAAGGTATTTTCAGGTACAGTTTAATGAGATCTCATGAAAGTCACAGATTATAAATGGCAAATTAAGGATTTGAAAGTTGTGAGGAGGCCACTGTAAATGGTTAAATTTGGCTCATTATACACTTTTTCCAACAGTGAGAAAATACCCACAAGCTGCGATTCATTTGGTGCATATAAAAGCTGTACCAATGCTGTGACATATTATTAAGATTTACAGATTTTATGAAAGATACTGCAGACATTTTTTTTTCTTACAGCCTTTCAAAGACATAAGTACAGGAAAAAGTTGCTTGATTGTGGTTAATTTTAAATATTATGAGTTGCCTTGAGCTACAGCATTATGCCAGATGGTACTGAATACAGCAAATCTTTATTTTGATGGAGTGAACATTGAAAGACATGTTTTACTTATTTCAATAATGCAAAGCCACCAGAAAAGGCAATGAATAATAATAATAAAAAAAATGGGATGTTTCCATATTGTAATCTGTTGTGCCAACTTTAACCTAGGCGCTATATAGATTATAAGCTTGGAAATTAAAAAAAAATGTAGAGGTGGCTACAAGTTATGGTTTTCCCTCCCCATTCAGTACTGATTAATTGATTCTTTTTTTTTTGCCACCTCGTAAGTAGAACGGGTATTCAGCTAATTATAGAAATAAAAAATTTGCAATCAGTAATCATAAAATAACTGTACTTCTAACTTTGCATTGCACTTATATATTGCAGACGGACAGTTAATAAGAATTCTTCGATTAAGCATATTGCTACCGTACGAAAAATATAAAAAAGACATTTTGAATAGAATGATTTTAACGTTCCTTCGAATATAAATTCTAAAATATGGAAAGATAACTTTTATTTCTGTAGAGCTATACTAATTTTGTAACATTCCAACTCAAATACAGTGTGACATTCAGAAATAGAGAAACATTTTAATGATTTAAAAAGAGAATTATTAGCAATATTTAGAATTTCACAGTTCGGCATTGCTGTCTACATGTTTGTTTATTTACAGATTTTGAAGTAGAAGTACAAGTATTTATTTCGAGCAATTCTGAAGTTTTATTCATTATACAAACTTTAAATCAGTACTAAGGTGATTTTAAATTAAATAAAAGTTTGAAGATATTGTAGTTCATCTTATGTTCTCTATTTCAATATTAAAAAAAATGAAGATATACTTTCAGATTTTTACGTTTATAGCTTATGGCAGCATGGTTTATGTCTGAAACTCAACCAAACTTTTTAATCTTTTTGATATTAATGAACTCGCACAGTATCAAAAGCATTCAAACTTATTGATATCTAGTTTGAAACTGAGAAAACTGAGTTGAAACGAACGAAATTTTATAAATGCTGGCATTCATAAATACAACACTGAGAACCGAATAAACAAATCATAAAGAATATTTGTATATTTGCGTTAGATCGAATTTAAAAATTATGTTAAAGATTTTAGAATCATTGCTAGAATTTAGTTAACTATGTTTAAAAATACATTTCAAAGTGGATTTTTATCCATTTTGTACAGTGTAGGAAGTAAGCCGTTACAAATTTGGGATAAAAAGGTAATGCATTTAATGTTCCAATTTTTCTTACAATGATATGAGTTTCTGACTGTTTTGTAATGAAATTAAATTTTAAGGAATTTATCTTTCTAAAAGGAAGATGCCTCGTTTGGTTAACAATTTATTTTAATTTAAAAAGTGAACATTTATTTAAAATAAAAAGGGAGGAAAGAGGTAGTTTCAACCAATTCACACTAAGTTAGTGGGATATTTCTGTAATGGTACCTGTTCACGCCATCTACAGTCGCCAAGACACCAAAATGTTTTAAGTTTGCAAAAATTTAAAAAAAAAAATGCATGTAGAAGCTTGTTCAGGGGTTTCCTCAAGATAACTTTTGGAGTTGGTTTTCTTTTGGAAGTTTTTTTTTTTAATGTTTTGTGTTTCTCATAGGCTATTGCATGGAAATTGTCAAACATAATTATTTTTGCGCACAGGTACTGGCACAGAAAACTTCCCCACAATTCTTTTTTATTGCTAGAAAAATATACTATACTCTTCATGTTTGTTAACGCAGAGAAAAAAAAAAGAATGATAGAGAAGTTTACATTAATTATAACTTTAGTTACTTTAAAACTATCTTTATTCTAATCTATAAAAAAACTGTCTTCTGGATTGATCTTCAAAATTACAAGGCTATGGAGTTGAACATTGGTAGCAGTCGTAAATCAAAAAATTGTTTCGGCTGCTGTACGACGGTTATAAAATCTAGAAAAATTGACATCCTTGAGTTCTGGCTTCTGTTCTTTAAATGGAACTGTTAGAACCAGTTGTTAATAAAATGTATAAAAAAAAGATTTAAGAATGAATTTTATTTTGTTGTGAAACATGAAGGCTGTCTTTCAAATATTAAAATGTTTTACAATTGAAAATCAAATATTTAGGAAATTTTACGTTTCTTAACAACAACACTGTTTCAAGCCATTTTATTTATTTTCTCATATTTTTACTATTTTACATTTTTCTCAGTATTATAATCTTTATAAAAGTATTTTCATACATATCTTGAATTATTAAAGGAGATTTTTGGAAAGACCTTTATACTAATACTTTTGAGTGCCTGCAAAACTTACAAAATTATTTTATTAATTTATTACAAAATTATTGCACGAAAAAAAATGTTTTAAATTTATGGAAATGTAGCAATAAAACGGGCCAATTATTTAGTGCACATATCAATATACCTCTATGCATGCTGATTCAAGAGGCCATTGACTTTTTGTCGGTAATAAATTTTGTTTGATAGCTATCCATTATAATTGTTTGATTACATTAAAGTTATTGCAATTATGTAATGATTTTACCGTTTTTAATAGGTACGAAATGGACATATTAAAAGGATTACTGATAATGATATCCAATCATTGGTATTAGAAATTGTTGGCAACAATGTTAGGTAAGGTTATGAATTTTATTTAGTTTTCTCATTTTCAAAGAATTTTTTTGCAAACTCGCAATATGCTAGTTCAAGTTTGTACCAATATTTAAAAATATGTTCTATTAATTAAGATTATTTTTAATAGCTAAATTATGCACTAAATGGTATATATATATATATTTTATTTTAGTACAGCTTTTATAACCTGCCCAGCTGATCCTCGTAAAACATTAGGAATCAAGCTACCTTTTTTGGTACTTATTGTCAAGAATTTGAAGAAGTATTTCACTTTCGAAGTCCAGGTTTGTAAAAAAATTTCNAATAAAGCATTTTTAAGATATGCAATACTTTTACTTTGATTTTGTAGACTTTGATAATTTCTGATATATATTTCATTATAATAAGTAGGTACATATTGAAAAAATTATTTTATAATAATATAATTATAAAGAAACTTTGAATAGTAGTTGCTTGATACTTGTTATTATGTTGTTTCATTTAAAGTCTTATATTGCTTATTATTGTTTTGAAGTTAAAAAAATTTTTTAGTATGTAATATTATTTCTTAATTACTAATTTTTTTTGTTTGTTAGTGATACAGATGTTTCTAATGTAGTATGCACTAACTGGTATATATATTTCTTATTTTAATACAATTTTAAATTTGTTCCTAATTGTATCTAAGGATGTAGGCATTAATGCATAGTTACGAATCAATGAAAGAAGTGTTTCAGACCTATATAATTGTTTTTAAATGAAAAAGATTATGACATAAAAAATTTAAGTTACTTCACAATAGGTATAATATTTCACTAATAATTTAGAAATTATAGGAAATATATATGTATATATATAATGCCTATTTTGTCATAACATCTAAAATAAAAGACAGTTACATTTTTCTATTATTGTTTCAAGGTGTCACTATTTTTAAACTCATCAATAACAATGTTGGATGACAAATTGTAACAGTACAACAACAACATTTAAAATTGTTCTATATATTGTTAATTTTTTTATTATTTTCCTTTAAGAGTAAACTTTTATAGCATATACGATTCAAGTAAATTAAAAATTAAATACCTTATAAATAACTCATTCTTGCATTGCTTCTATTAAGAAAGCTACTTCCAAAATTATATATATACGCACACACAGACAATTTATGAATTTATGTAGTTTAAACAATTTTGACTTTGAATTTCATGAATGATTGTCCTTTTTTTTTTTGCAAAATAAAAGTTTGATGTTTTTGATATGGGCATTATTGTATAAGGCTACAGTACCTATATATTTTGGTGGAGTACTGCTGCCAGAAAAATAGAATGTCTTTTGGAAGTAGTCTTGGATTGAGAAAAGACTCAATCTGAAATATCTGAAATTTTTAATGATGGTTAAATTTTCTTTTTAAGTTAGGAAATTTTCAATCGATTTCATTATAAAAATACTTATTTCCTGCAAAATGTTTTCTTAACTTGTTCTTTGTTTCAGTTACATGCCTATTTATATTAGAACACTACTTTAGTTATGCAGAATCTATTAACCCCTTAACGATCGGTTAATTTTCAAGAAAACGATCATAAAAGTCCCTATTTTTTTTTCTGAGATCCAAACATCTTGTGCTGACATCTAGTTTAAAATAAACTTATTTATCTACAATTACCTTAAAATATCCTGGTACTGCCATCTGGTGTGCAAAAGGAGAAATCATATGTTTTTCAGGCAAAAGAAATGAATTAGTTTTATTTTTATTGGCATATTACTACCGAACACTCCAGCCTGGAAATATGACGGGAACGAGAAATAGAGGGTGAAACCTCAACCCGTCATTTTCACTGGAGCAAGAAGGAAGGGTTTGAGCATAGCATATAATCAATTTATTTTTACATTTTAACTAGAATATTTCTCCTAAATAAAAATTATTTTTCTTTGAAATTATTTATTAATTGCTGATTTGTAATGATAGTAATGTTCAATTGGCATTTAAACATGGTGTAAAGTTACAAGAAAGTAATTATGATAGAATGAAAGTGTTTAACTTAAATTATGCTGTGGCTGTGAAATACTGCTTCATTTTATTTGAGAAATAAAAACAATTTAGACTGTTATTTTTCAATATTTTTTACTGTATTTAGTTTTCTTTGAGAAGAAAAACTATTTAAAGTTTTCCGTAAAAAAATTCAAAATTGAGAGATAAACTTGATTGCAAATCTTTCAATGTCTCGAAATATGCTGACAAATTTTTTTTCCATGCTATTTCAGTATTTTTTTAAATTCTAATTTGGTTACATGTCTGACAATTAAATTAGTATCTTTATTCATGCTTAGAGTTTCCAAAAGCGATTGTGTGTGTCATTTCTCTGCACTAAACCTTGGTCAGTTTCCCTCTTATAAAAAATTTAACTTTAAAAATTTTTATCTTTTGCTTAGATCCTGTTTCTATTCGATATCCTAGTCCATACTTCTGATATTATTACAATTCTTGATAAAATCTGAAAAATATATAACCTAATTTAATCAATATTAAATACAATAATATTAAAAATGTGGTGACATGTTACAGTAGTTTTAAGTAAAACATGTTATTAGTAATTTTATTAATTGTATAAGTATTGCATTGCATACATAAATAGAGTTTCGTAGAACTTATTTAAGTATTGCTATTCAATTACAGTCTTAATATTGCATAAAACGTAATCTAGTGCATATTCGTCATTTGTTTCAGTGCTCATATTTAATGTTTGACTTTTAGGGATAGATTAAAGAATGTTTTTTTTATTAAAATCATTTTTTTATATGGTAAGGATAATGGTATTATTAAAAACTGGAAATTTAGAAATTTATTTTGTCATCTAAGTTAGAATTCTTTTTATAACATTAAATCTACTCATAGTTTTTTGCTTTAAGTTTGTTATCTTTATGTTTAGCTATTAAAATTTTTTATTTCAGATAGTCGATGACAAAAATGTTAGGAGGCGTTTCCGAGCGAGCAACTATCAAAGTACCACACGAGTGAAGCCCTTTATATGCACGATGCCTTTGAGATTGGATGATGGTTGGAATCAAATCCAGTTTAATTTAGCTGACTTTACGAGAAGAGCATATGGTACAAATTATGTGGAAACACTTAGAGTTCAGGTAAGGACTTAAGTTATTCCTGCATTCTTTCTAGAAATGTTTAATTCCTGGTTGTTTTTGATAATTATACTGTTCATCTTTAATTTTTGTAATGATATTTAAAGATTGTAATTAATTTTTGAATAACAACATTGTTTGCTTGTTACTTAAATTATGATTTGATGTCTTTTTTAAAAATTAAAACAAATTTCAAGACTGAGGGCAAGCTCTGTTTGGCAGAAAATTACGGTTTACAGAGTCATAGGGCACAGGGCCGTCTTAATAGCAAGCATTGCCCCCGGGCACAGAAATATGTTTTGTGCCCCTATAAGATGTCATACTGTTTAAAATCGAACTAAAAAAACGTCACATACATAAAATAAAGCATTTTTAAGATATGCAATACTTTTAACAAACTTAAACATGTTTTTATTACCCCCAAAAACTCAATGCACATAAAATAAAGCATTTTTAAACGTGTGGTCCTAAATTAAAATGAGAACTTTTAATTTAAAACCCCTATATGCATAATTTAAAAAAAAATGAGATGCTAGGCAATTGCAATCCTCAAATAATAAAATAATTTTCAAAACCAAGAAGTTGATTAAAATAATTAAATTAAAAACATAAGATTATAACAAATAAAAAAATTCAAAAGGTATGAATTATTTAGTAAAACTATCAAAAAGTTAGTTAAATATCTTTCAATGCACATTAGATCAGACATAACCAGCTTAAAACTTGCTGTCCCGTAGTACCGTGTAATTCTAAACTCTTTCAATAATTGCTCTAATTACAAATACTAAACTGAGTTGGTGGTGGTCAAACATATTTAAAGACATTATGGCTTAAAGAGTTGAGTACCTAAAAACTTCATTTTAACTTAGAAAAATAGATTTCGATTCACTTTTTAAGTTTTCCTGGTGGTAAACTGTTCAAACTATTGATGTTTGCATGATAATCAATTACTATTTGTAGAAAAAAATTCACACTTTTTATGCGAGAATATTATTTTAAAAATTATATAATGCAATGTTGTTTATTCTTAATTTTTTTAAAATACAATTTATAAAAGATATGATTCTCAAGGCTCCCTAAGTGCTGGAGGCCCCCGGGTGTGCCCATGCTTAAAGACCGTACTGATAGGGCATGTGTCCTAGATCAGAAACAAATGATGGATCCACCATCTTGCATTATAATGTTCACCCAAATCTCATAAATTACAAGGAAGATAAGATCCCCTAAGATTCTTCTGTATAAGCTGTTTATAATGCAGAATATCTAGATACAGTTTCTAATCTTGTTAAGAAGGCATGCCAGATGGAAAATAGCTCTTAAAGTCACGAAATTGCAATAGTGCAAGAACATTTTGATAATGACTTTTATCCGCTTTATTATTATTTTTTATATTATTAGATTAACAATTTTTAATTCCATTAGATTCTATTCACATAAAAGTGATTGTATGTTCCTCTTAATCTTTTTAAATATATATAATTTTAATGAATGCCATCTTAAATCACAGATCTTCTTGAAAGTGGTCTTTTCAAAAATTTAGTTTTATTAAATAAACATATTGCATTTTCTTTATGTATTTTTGATTTTTGTCTTTTGTATGGAGATGTCGGCTTTTTCTGCTTTGTAGGCAAATTTTTTCTGAAAGTCAGCAAACTGTAGCTTTAAGAAGACGCTATACTACAGAAGAAACTTCATTGCAAATTCTCTTTAGCCTCCATTACTAATTTAAAATTTAAGAAGAAAAAATGAGTTTAGGCAAACCTAGAGTAAGCCATGTATTTTCAATTGCTAAAAATTGTTTTTTAAAGATATCAAAATTCAAACAGATTACTCGAAGAGAACTTCTCTATTTTGTAATCATAAGTTATCTACTCATAATTAATTTTCATTTTGATATTTTCAAAATCTCTTTTCAGTCTTCGAAATTTCATGACTTACTCTAGGTATGTCTGAACTCACTTTTTCTATACTTTAAATTAGTTATGGAGGTGAAGGAGAATTTGCGACGAAGTTTCTCCCATAGTATGGCATTCTCTTAAGAGGAAACAGCACAGTAGAAGCCTGTGAAAAAAAAACATTTTTTTAGAATGAATTTTACATTGATTGAGAAAAGCATAATTTATTTATTTTTTTAACTTATTGTCTACATTTTAATCTTCATTTTAGTGTTACAATTATGAAATTTAAAAAATTAACGCTTATATAATACAATGTTTATAACTTATTTTTTAAATTATCCATATCTTGCTGTATTTATAATTTGAAAAAAAAAAGTCCTTATAATCTGATTCTATTTTGATTTTTTTAAAACTACATGAATGTAGTTTTCATTGCATGTAGGATTTTAAATTTTTTTTTCTTAACAAAATGGCCGTGTTTTGAAAAAATAAATAAATCCAAAAATGGTATAAAATAAGTTTTATTTTGTGGACAACTTAAAACGGGTCAAACCAATTAAAAAATCCCTGCATCCTACATTTTTTAAATTATCCATATCTTGCTGTACTTATAATTTGAAAAAAAAGTCCTCAGAATCTGATTCTATTTTGATTTTTTTAAAGCTATATGGAATGTAGTTTTCATTGCATGTAGGATTTTAAAATTTATTTTTCTTTACAAAATGGCCGTGTTTTGAAAAAAAAATTCCAAAAATGGAGAAATAAATAAATCCGGACATGGTATAAAATAAGTTTTATTTTGTGGACAGCTTAAAACAGGTCAATCCAATTAAAAAAATCCCTACATCCATCAAAAACTATATTTTTGTGAACATTGTGGCAAAATTTGAAGTAAAATGGATTGGAAATTATATTAGTTAGATGTGTAGCAAATAAGAAGGCATAATTTTGAGTAAATTGTGTTTGAAATTTTGTGACCAATAATCCAAATAAATTTATAAAATTTTGCAACTAGCTATAATGCATGAATACCAGGTTCATAAGATGCTTCTCCGTCATAATTTTCAGCAGTCTTAAGTGATGGACTAACTATTTTTTTGTTGAACTACTCTCATCATGTGTTGCATAATATGTCTTTAGAATAGCAGTCGTAGGCAACGTTGCTCACCTCTGTGACTTTGGTCCACAGGTGCAAGGATGAATAGCAGCCAAAATTCTTCGGTCATCTTCATTTTGGGCATATTCTTTGGATACTGCGTGTACATTTATTTCTAGTTGTTTTAAATTTGTCAATAACCCTTTGTAACTTTCATTAAAAATTATTCTAGCTAAATAAGTTGCTGTTATGTTGAAATTTCCATTAATTCTTTTTCTTTCATAATTTAAGCAAATTATTTTAATAAAATAGTAAAATCGGCAGTATAGGAGTTAGCAAAATCATGAATTAACTGATCGCATATGTTCATTTATCGCACAAATTCAATTGTTTATACATGTCACAGATCCTACTGCATCATGTGCCAAATTTTTAATTTTATGCTGTAATCTTTACATTTTTACCAAAATCAATTCAATATTTTAGTATAATAATCTTATAAGGATAAACTATTAAAAAATGCAATAACATTTGTTTTCAGTTTTTGAAAATTTTTGAAATTTTTATTTATTATTTTACTAATTTTAATTTGTTTTCTTCTTTTTAATAATAAATTCTCACTTTACTACAGTAAAGCAGGAATAAAGGTAATTTAATTACTATTTAAAGTAATTTTTTCCATCATTACCTATAAACAATTCAAAAGCTCACATAAAACACCACATTGTCCCAATTGTTTCAAATATGAGCTTTTTAAGGTAATGGGGTAGCTAATTGAGATTTCGTAAGCTGTAGTTTTTAATTCTCAACCAGTTGATAAAATCTCTTTCAGGAAGTAGAACAATTGACATCCCAGTATATAAATAATTTCTTTTGGACACTTTCTTTAGAATGTTTTAAAATTTTAGATCGTTATTTTAAAGTTTTTTTACAAATGATTGATAATTTTTAGTTGTATCTATGACAAGAACATTATTCATGGCGCATAGCGTTTTTAAAAAGTGCTTGAGGGTGCTTATTTTTGATTTTCCTTTTTTAAAAGCCCTTAAAAATGCTTTTTTCATTGGGTGTTTTTAAAAAGTGGTTAATTTTCTCTTTTTGAAAATGAGATTTTTTTTTCTATCTCGATTTTTGTCATGTAATATGTAAAAGCGTGCTTTTCACATTGTTCTATTCAGCATTTTCCCAATTCAATCAACCACGATCTATTTCGGCGTACCGTCGGACCATAGCGTATGAGAACGCCAATCATTTTACATGTTTGATGAAATATTTGTAGGTCCGCATGTGTTTCTACTGACCTGGGGTTGGTGAGATTATTGCACTTTCATGTGCAATGCTGCTGCATTTTGCAAGATATTCTCAATTTCAAGCTTCACTTTCCAGCCCCTGATATCTAACTGAAAAATCTCTTGATCATTTTATAATGGCAAATGTAATCAAGAAAAGAGTTCCTTGTCAGAAACCAGTTAATTTATCATAATCATGTAAAGTCTTTGAGAATTATTTTGCATTTTGTTAATGTATATGGTGCTTAAAAATATTTTTTGAGCATTTAAAAAGTACTTAAGAGGTGCTTAATTTTTGTTGAAAGATTTGGCTATGCACCCTGTTATTTTTATTCAGGTAAAACCCTAAAAAATTGCATTTATAGTTAAAAATATTATTCTAATTGATATTTTAAGAATCATGTTGCATGTAGTGTTTAAATTAAAATGTAGTGTTAAGTACTAGTTTTCTTATATTTAGCATCTATTAAAAAGACGTGTTTTAAAAGAAACCTTTATTATATTTATATACTTTAAACATAAATCACTATATGCCCACAAAAGATCTGCTGAAAGGTCTATAATTATAAAGCTGCATTAAAGAAGCCATCTTAATAATATAAAAAGAATTCTAAACATTCAAATAATTAGCTATGTCAGTGGTTTTGAATTTTTTTTTCTGTTATAGAACGTGTTAATGATAGAACTTCTTATGACAGATCCCTGAAGTTATTAATAAAGTTCACTAGCACCAAAATATGCTAACCAAAAAAGATTATCAATTATTCCAATCAAAAATTCATAATGACTGTTGAGAATGAAATGTTTTAATCCTTTTATCAGTAATAGTAAAAAAATTTAGTTTTTTATGTCAGGCAGCTGAATTTACAGATCTGGTTTGCATCTGAATTTGATCTTGGTGTTATGCATAAGATGAATTATGATTTTCGAAATAGAACTGCTATACGGTTATCAGAGAAATTTTTTTTTATTCTTGATTTCGATTATTTTATTTTGAATTAAAATTTTTGAAGAGAAATACTCGCGGAATTTTTTTTATAAGAGCTTATCCTTTTCATTATTTTTTTAATATATTGTTATTGGAATTTGTTCTTAATTTTTCAATTTCTTATTTCATTTACATGGTATTTAAATAACGTCCTAAAGTTAACTGAAATATTTAATAAATTATGAATTATTGATTGGATATACATATTATAACGGGTTTCAAAAATCATTAGTGGTTTAAAAAGAAAGTCCTAAATTTCAGAACCCTTGTGGCCCTTCTATGGGACCTTAGAGTTACCTGGAACATCTTTTAAGAATAGCTCTGTGAACATTTCCTTATATAGGATGAGATTTTTTTTCTGTTATGAAGTGGAATTTTTGTTTTCAGAAAATTCGTTATAAAAAGTGCATTTAAGAAAAATAAATAATGCAATGCGGTTTTTTAAATTTGATTTGCAGTGGCTTAGTTTTTTAATGCTGTTATTTTTCCAAAAATTAATTGTTTTTGCTCAATATCAAATTTGTTTAGAAACTTAAAAATAAAAAAATTAAATTCAAGCAGCCCATTTAATTTTTTAAAATTATATTTTTAAACAATTTTGTTAATAAATTAATGTAATGATATGTTTTAGATTTCCTGTAATGACATTTATAAGGAAAGAAAATGTTTAAATTTTTGTTACATAGACTATTTTGATTTTTCAGTTTCTAAATTTTAATACACTAGAAAACCTCCTTTTTTTCTTTAAACAGAAAATAAGTTTATAAATTATTAGCTATATTTTAAAATAATTTTAAACTATAATTTCTATTTCAGTATATTGTCTAATTACTGTTAAATATATATTTATTATTATATGTATAAGTATATGTATTTTGTTATATTTATATCTTAGTTTAATGTTTCAAGAAATTTTATGTGCATTATGATTTCGTAATTAGAATACTTAGCTTTTTACAGTTTTATCCAGTTTTGCATACTTATTATGTCTAAAGCCAGTTTTGATGTCAAAAACAATATCATATACCATAATAAAGTTAATAATGCTTTTATGTTAACAAAATTACAGTTTTTTTTTATATAGCAAAATATTTTAGACATTTATTTATATTGATTTTATTGCAATATATAATGAAATAAAAAAAAATTATAGTTTGGCATATTTTCATTTGTTATGGAAATATAGTATTCAAAGGCTGAATTTGAATAATAATGCTTCCAATTACAAGACAAGTGAATGAAATATTTAACTACAGGCATTTCTGTAACATTTTATGCAATATTAAACACAAAAATACTAGATATTGTTCTGTTAAGCAGCTAAAATACTTTGAAACTGAAAATCAAGATTTTCAATTGATCTTTTTTAGTAAATTCCTTCACTAAAATGTTTACATCCCCACAGATGCAATATATTTGATAATATATTATCACAAAATATGAATATGCTTGTAAGATATGAATCCTATTTCTTAAATTATAATGGAATTAACGATTTTTATAAGTATTGTTATTTACGTCACTTACAACATGAGATCAAAATTTAGTCAAATTATTCAAAGTGTGTTTAAAATTTAAATTTAAAAAATAATTCTTTCCAGATTTATTAAAAAATAGTAATTTATTCTTCTATGTACCTCTGAGAAAACTGAAACGAAAAAATGTTTATTAAGCATGTGCTACGTAAATTTCAGATAGTTATTTTAGTAGAAATTATTACCTTTTTATTTATTACAACTTTATAAAATGTGGAGCTGTTTGTTTGATGATCCTTTTTGCATTGAAAATGAAATCAGTATTATATTATTCAAAACAAAGTGCACTCACAGCATATTTTAAAAAGTTTAAAACTTTTGCCATCTTTAAAAAGTTAAAAATTTTTTTTTGTAAACTCTTTCACAAATAATTTGCAGTAATAGGCTGAGATGGCTGGGCCATCTATGGAGAAGCTCTGGAAATAGTGCCATGAGAATAGTCACCTTTATGAACCCCGAGGGGTCACGTCCCCGAGGGAAATTTCCTACTAGATGGCTGAACGACACCGAAAATGATTTGAAAACCCTAAAGTTTAGAAATTGGAAGGGAGTTGCCATGGATAGGAAGCGCTGGCATTTGTCAGCTGTTGAGGCAGTCAAGGCCTGCAAGGGGCTGTTGCGCTGACAAAGAAGAAGAAGAAGACGAAAACTCTTTGTTCCCATTTTTAAAATCCACCCATTATAAATTCATATTTTATTTTGAGCATTTTCTAAAGGTCTTTTGTGTGCAAAGGTTTGCCTGCAAAGGTCTAACCTCTATGCTTAACTGAAGAATCATTTTACTATTCTAAGTTTTGCAACCAATATCAGTGAAAATAAAATTGTTGCATATTACATGCTTGTTTTTTTTTTATCATCATGTTACTAGGGGGGATGTTTCATACTGGCATTTATGCTTGACAGTCACCATAAAAGAGTTAAGCATTTTGTTAGATTAAGTGGTTTTACTTGGGAAAGTCTAACCTCTATGCTTAACTGTAAGGATCATTTTACTGATTGAAGTTTTGCAACCAATATCAGTAAAAATAAATTTTTACATATTACATGCTTGTTTTTTCATCATCACGTTGCTGGATGGCTTGGGGGAGATTATAACCATTGTCTCCAAAATAATAAATTTTGAAAACTGAGGATTTTTAGTTTGATAACCATTGTCTCCAAAATAATAAATTTTGAAAACTGAGGATTTTTAATTTGATAACCATTGTCTCCAAAATAATAAATTTTGAAAACTGAGGATTTTTTAGTTTGGCAAACTTAAATGCATGCTGTAATTCTGTTATTGCTAAGAGTGGTTGCATTGTAAGTTGAAAAATTAAAGTAAAGTTGATGAGTGTATAAATTTTCTTCTTACATCTTTCAGATACATGCTAATTGCAGAGTACGCCGAGTATATTTCTCAGATAGGTTGTATTCTGAAGATGAATTGCCAGCTGAATTCAAGCTGTATATTCCTGCTCACACTAAAGTCAAGGCCTCTGCATAATCACACGACTCACCGTTTTTAGTGATAATATTTTGTACTTGTGATTTTCTTGTTAATCTATATTTGTCAATAAATGTTTTATCTAAATCATATGCCATCTCACTCTTTGTCTGTAGTACAGATGGTGTTCACATTTGTTTTCGCATCCAATTTTGCATTGTTGCCTATGCATAAATTGACAGTGTTTATTGTTCGCAGCAGAGTATTCATAACGAAATGTGAATACTCTGCATTGAACAATAAACACTGTCAATTATGAATACTCTGCAGTGGCGTTCAGAGAAGGGGTAAAAGTCCTAAACCCAGGCTTCTAGCTTATAAAGGAGATTTAAACCTAACCTTATTGCTTTTATTTTTATTATGATAAATTTTTAGCACGAAAATATGCACAATATTTTATGTAGAATAAAATGTGATTTTGATAAAGATGTGCCAATTAAGTTTTAAGGTTATTGGTATTTAAATGTTCTTTACATTTAATTAAAAATTGAGAATATTTTATTAGAAATCATGCATTTTATAGTACATAAAAATGAATTTAAAGTCTGGATTTTATTCTTTTTTTTTTAATTATTCAAATTTTTTTATCAACTTTTTTTTGCTTCTGCAGGGGTTTCAATATTATTTTTTTCAATGGCATCTGTCAGTATTCTGATTCCACTCCCAGGCATCTGAATGAACTCTTACCCGAGGGGCAGTGGGTGAGGGACAGGAGAAGTATTATTCCCCTTTTTGTGGGGGAGGAAAGAGTTAGAAGAAAAGGACTCTCTCCTGAGAAATGAGATTTATTATTGACATGATTCTGATAGAGTGTAGATGATGAAGAGGAGAGTTCCAAAATTAAAAGCTGGATTTAGTTTTTATTTTATTTAAATTTTTGTTGAATTGAGTACAATAATCCAAAGTCTATACAACAAATATAAGCTGATATAAGTCCCTGTCATCATTCTGAGTGTTTCAAAAGACGAACCGCAAATAAAACCATTCCTCAAGGAGCACAGCATTTAATCAAGGAAATTGCCCTATGCTCTCATGCATCCCCATACCTCTGAATACCACTTACACTGTGTATTATGTTCAAAAAGTTATTGCTGTTTTTGTTTTATGTAATTTGGCAGAATGTGCATTTAAAACATTTTCTTAAAGGAATGTATTTGTGGTTTTTGCAAGTGCCATAAATTTAGTGTATGTTTTATTGGTACAAACCTGTGTACAGAGCCGCGATGGCTCAGAGGATAGAGTGTTCGCCTTCCAATGAGGTGAACCGGGTTCGAATCCCGGCAATGACTGGGATACGAATTCCGCATCCGACTTGCACTGACCACAGTGCCACTAAATATCCCCAGTGGTAGACGAATCATGGGTTAGAGTCCCCTTGCCGTCAGGCTAACCGTGGTTGGTTCTTGTGGTCTCGTGGAGCGAGGGCTCTATTCACTGAGTCACTATGACTCAAAACACAACCTTTGATTAAAATCGGTGAAATAGTTTCTGAATTATCAAATTTTAAAAAGGGGTAGATTTAAACTTTTAAAATTTTTATTTTACTATGCAAACTACTTTTATTTTATTTTTGCTCCATTAATTAAATAGTTATGCTCTTAAGTGTTGGATAAGTGGCTTAAATTTTAGAACATTCTTCCATTTTGCTACCATTTTGTAAAATCTTTTTTAATTGCTCTCATTCCTTAAACAATAGCATGCCTAATGATATTGAATTATAAGTTATTCTTTTTTTGATGAGACGAACTTCTAAAAACATGTTTTACTTAATCTAAGAACGAAAAGCCACCCAGGAAAAAGAACAAATAATGAGTAAAAATATTCGAATTGTTAACTCAATTATTTCTTCTAAGATAATACCAATAAAATTTTTTTTATTTAAGTCTTTGTCGGATTGATACCAGTTCTACATACAGATTTTAAAATTTATCTTATATATGCAGATTTCTAAATTATTAATGTTGTTGTTGTAGTTAATTTACGTCGCACTAGAGCTGCACGATGGGTTATTGGCGACGGTCTGGGAAACACCCCTGAGGATGATCCGAAGACATGCCATCACAATTTTGATCCTCTGCAGAGGGGATGGCACCCCCGCTNTTGTGGAAAAGCTCCTGGAAAAATTGTTGATTATACCAATGAAGTGTTAAAATATTTTTTAGAATAGTGTAATCCGTGCCTTATGGTAAGGCATATTGGCATGATATGTGTGGAGGAGGGAATCCTAATATATGCCACATGAGTTAGTGCTGGTGAGAGGAAGCTCACGTCTAGCGGTCACACGTGGTATGGTATAATATTATATGGGGCAAGATGTTAGCCCGTGGTAATCACTGATGTGCAGTTTGCTTGTGTGATGCTAGTCCCCTCGGACAACTTTTTTTTCATATGTATTCCTAATGAATGTGTCATTTTTTGTAATTTTTAGAAATGTTTTTTTTATCAAGTCCCTTAAGGACTTAATCCTTTTTTTGAAGTAATTTTAATAAACCCAGTTATTTAACCTAATACCTTAGATAGCATGTATTTTCTTGTTGTGTGATGAGAGTGTTAATTTTTACTTTGCAGATGAACAGGTAAGGTATCCCATGCTGGAGAATCGGTGGATCATTAATAATTAACTTAGTTAAGGGAATTAATACACAACGCGATGTTAAATTTTGGGGAATATACTATACTAAACGGCACACTGGTCGATACGAATTCCGCATCCTGCTTGCACCGACCACAGTGCTGACGTGAAATATCCTCAGTGGTAAACGGATCATGGGTTAGAGTCCTCTTATCGTTAGGATATTCGTGGGAGGCTTTCTTAGTTTTCCTTTCCATGTAACGCAAATGAGGGTTAGTTTCATCAGAAAGTCCCCCACGAAAGCAAATTTCTCTCCAAATACTTGATCCAGGAGTTCCCTTGTCAACTGGATTGGATTCAAAATGACAAGGCTACTGAGTTGAACATTAGTAGTCGTAAACCCGAAAATTGGGTGGGCAGTTGGGACAACGACAATTGGGACAACGGCAGTTATAAAATAAAAAACATGTGTATAACTGCCATCTTGTTATCGATAATAATACCGTAAATATGCCCTTCAGATGTTTGTCTAAATTCCTTGCAGACACAAAAGAAACAATCAGATGAAAATTTTCGTTGATCAACAATTATAAGTTGAATTTATTAATGGATTAAGCAATTAACTTTAATTTTCGCTGGTATCCATTTAACTCAAATAAAAACGCGAGTTTCTCAAAATTACCTCACCACTCAACAAAGTAACCCAATTTTAAGATAATACCAATTTAATTTTTTTTATTTAAGTCTTTATAGAATTCATATCAGTGTTACATACAGATTTTTAAATTTATCTGTTTTATGTACAGATTTTCAAATTATTAATGGAATGAGGCAGTTACAAATATTTTTTTCCGCCTAGTTAAGGTGGCAAACAAACGGTGGTCTTGGGGAAAATTATTTTATATATTTTTCTAAAATTATATTGATTAGGATAGTGAAATGATTATAAAGAATGATATTTAATATCCATAATAAAATTACTCAATAATAACAAATATGATCTCCTTATATAAATAATATGTATGGTAAAATACATTTTCATTAGTCGCGGTGGTTCGGGAAATAGAGCGTCCGCCTCCCAATGGAGTGACCATGTTCGAATAACAGTGGTTAGTTGATACGAATTCTGCTCCCGACTCGCACCGACCACAGTGTTGACGAATTATGGGTTAGAGTCCCCTTGCCGCCAGGCCAACAGTGGGAGCTTTTTGTGGTTTTCCACTCCATGTAACGCAAGTGCCAATTAGTTTTTATCAAAAAGTCCTCCACGAAGGCTAGTTTGTACCAATGCTTGATCCAGGAGCTCCCTTTCTTCTGGGTTGAGCTCAAAATTACGAGATTACGGAGTTGAGCAATGCTAGGCGAACTCTGCTTTGGGTCGGATGTTCAACGCCGTTGTAAATGGAATAAAATAGAATATTGACTTTCATAAAATAATATAAAATATAAAGAAAAAAGGTAAAATTTTTTTTCAAACGCAATATGTATTACACTATTTTATATCAAGGGCGATATAATTAAGGAGACTTCGTCTATATTTGATATACTGTTATTCGGAACTTTTTCTTTATTTTGAAGGTTTGATGAAAAAGATTTAAAATGAGAAAAAAAGTCAAGAAAGCATGCCAGTCCTGAATGCGTATGTAAGTACAATAAAATGTCAAATTAATTCTTAAACCCTTTAGGCCTCACCAGGACATATATGTCCCGTCGACGAAAGCACCACAAGGACATATGTGTCCCGTCAAAAAAACCAAACCTATCTCATCCCCTTCTAATTGCCCAAAATAGGTTTTTAATTCTATTTTCATGAAATGACCATTTTTTCTAGCTGGGCAGTTCAGGGGTTGGACAGTGATAGCGAAAAGGAGGCTGACTCCGTCCCCTTTCGCTGTTAGGCTAAAAAAAAATATTAATAATCGCTTTGTTGGGAGAAATCAAACAGTGGCGCCATCTTTTAGAGTAAAGCATAAAAAGAAAATAGATAGTAAAGATTGGAAGCCAAATGGAGTGAGATCTATTGGGAAATAAAATTATATTATAACCAATGGGAGGAAAGCAGTTTTTTCTTTTCTTGATATTGCATTAAAAACATTTGGTTAATTTAATTTCCTGACTAATGAACTAGAAAACAACCTCACATGCCCCACCTGAATTACGGTACCAAAAAAAAAAAAAAAAAAAAAAAAAAAAAAAAAAAAAAAAAAAAAAAANAATAAAAAATGAATAAAATAAAAAAAAATAATAATTCGGAATTCGCTACTATTGACGTAACTATTTACGCAAATATTTTTACGTAAAAGAGATTCCTCTCTAACTGATTACTAATTACTATTTTCGAGCAATTTTGTAGAAAAAAATAGAAAACATTAACTCTCCCAAAGCTTAATTCCCCTTTAAGATCGCAGTGGGCGTATGTTTTGTTGTAATTTGTTTTCAGCACTTTTTCTTTCTCCGAGGACATTATTCAATTTATTCAAATCGAATTCCGGGTTCTTCATTTCAACAAGAGTTGGATACCATTGTGCAGCTGATGACGTCTTAAGAACGGAAGCGTCTCAAGGTCAGTGTCGTCCACCATCTCAATCAAATCGCTGGGCTCCAAAAAGACCAAGTGAAAATTAAACCTAACTGTCAAGTAGCAAAGCACTTGGAAGACTTGACCGCAACTTTCAAACGACCAACGTCGTTCCAGAAAGGTAAGTGATCTTAGAATTAATCATGAAGAATTTTTTTTTTTTACTCAAGTGAAAATAAAAAATTTAATAATTTGTATTATTGTGATCCAAAAGATATTAAAGGTAAGATGCTCTGCTTTTACTTCCGAATCGCTCTTAATTTTGGATCCACGTTACGATTACGCTATTATTTTTATATCAGGCTTTTCATGGCTTGGGAGAAATTAAACCGTTTACCTGCCTGGCATTTATTTTGCACTAAAGGAAAAGAGTGCCTTGATGAAAAATGTGCTTGCAAATTCGCATATAAATTAAATGATAATTTTTTTTTTGGCATCGCAATTAATCGTCACTCTGACATCGCGATATTTTGATGCATCGTGATGTTTCCGTGCATTAATGTTTTATATTTAGCTCTGCGTAAATCCGCAATTAGTAAGTTGCATTTTTTTAAAATAAACTTTGCGTTTTCTTATAATTATTTCACAATATTTAAAGACGCGTATGTTTGCAAAATGGCGGTTAAAAAACATTAAACGATTGGAATGATTGCAAAAAAATCAATAAGATTTGCACACTCACAGGATCACATTCGGATTCGATTCTCAATCACATTCGGATTCATTATGTCAGCAAAACGATGAGTCACGATGTAAAAAAAATCGGGGAAAGATCATCGCCTCAGCTATCACGGCACACTCGGCGGAAAATGCTCTTCGTGCGAACTTGCAGACATCGATGTGCTATCGTGAACACATCACGCGCGTAGACATCGATGTCATCGATATATCGGGAAATATCGTACACATCTCGGTAAATCACAATTTCCGATGCTTTGTAAAATTACCAATCCAAACATCGGATTGGCGATGATTGCATAGAATCGATATTTTCCGATGCATGCAAGTATCACAGATGCAATTACCTGACCTTAAATATATCTGTTTAAATTATTTGTGTTTAGAGGTGAACAAAATACTTTTAATCCTAATTTATTAAAATATTAATACATAACCTTAGCAGCACCCCGGGAAAATATTTTATGAGAATCCGTAGTGGCCGGAATCTCTGTAAATAATAACATGTGTAGTATTATTAATAATATATGTAGTTATATTTGTTATTAATAATATATAGAGTCATATTTTGATCTGAAATTATGCATTAGCAAATTAAAAATTAATGGTTTTGAAATTAATTATCAACTTAGTTTTATAACTGATTCATCATCATTTATTTTTGAAAGTTGCTTATAACGTCACTGGCAAATGTTGAGTAATCGTCAGGTGGGAATGGGTTAATTTCTTAAGACTCGAAGTACACATTTGCGCAGGTGTTGTTGTTGACATATGCCTTTTTAGGAAGAGGGGGTGCGATTGTTCTTGTTTTTCCAGTGGCGCCTTCTATGGCCAAGAATTCGACTTCTGCCACACCATACGTCACACCCGTTTATAGGGCGGATCCATTCATACATCCATTCATTCATTCACAGATCATAATTTTGACCTGAATCAGAGAACGATCGATCTCCAATCCAGTACCCCCAAAGGTATTGATTTGTTATGGGATCATGGGGGACTTTGTGACCCCGATAGATTTACGTGCATCAGACACCATTTGCTAAACTGGGAGTCTTCGGCCGGCGGGGTTCGAACCCACGAACTCTCGGACATGGGCCCAGCGCCCTACCGACCAGGCTATCACGGCCTTGCGCAGGTGTGACCCGGCTAATTCTGGGTAACCAAGACCTGGAAAAATTAAAAATAGTGACTAATGGTGAATTGTTTTCATAGTTAATTTAGCAGTTCGAGCTCGTTGCGCTAGCTGATTGGATACTCCTTTCTTTTATTTTAACTTTGCTGGTATTCATTTAAAGTATGCAGTTCGTTCTAAAAATTCGTAGTATACACTTGCTGCGATACTTTTCATTTACTACTTCTTTTTTATTTATTTTATATACGTTACGATTTGATTTATATACATTTTAATTCTGCCTGGAAATCACAGTTGGAATAAATAATTTATAAAAAATTTTCTACATAAATTTCTGTGTTTGTAGATACCAGAGTTGAAGTCCTTTATTCGAACAGGGACCCGTAAATTATATTAAAAACCAAAGAAAAAAACATTATAAAATAAAAAATAGTATTATAATAAAGCAGGTAAAAATGAAGATAGTATATTAAAAAAACAATTAAAAATTGAATCAATGGGTAATGTATTTGTGTCCGATTTTCGTTCATAAATCGCATTTTTTTCTGTGTAAATTAGCATTGTTTAAACTAAAATACAGCTATTACATGAGCATTTGTTCGTTTATAGGAATTGCTAGTTTATTTGCTTATAAGAATGACAGTAAAAACACTTGAGAAATTTATCATCATTATTTAAAAAAATAGCATATAATTATTTAAAGATTAGTTCTTCTAATTCTAATTATTAAGTAAATTTTTGAAATCACGTACTCACTTAATTACGCGATTTGCTTAAAAAATTCAATTACTTAAAAAAAAAATTCGAATATTTAAAAAATTCAAGTATTTTGAAAAAAATATGAAATTTTTTTTCTTTTATTTGTTAATATTGAATTCAAATTGCAATTGCAGTTGCGGCGTAATTACCACTATAAATATTAAATACCCAATCACTTGTATATGAGACATGTTAACTTGATTCTATTCACATTAAAACAGTTGATTTGATTTCAAGAAAAATACAGAATCTGCATATAACGGGGTGCAATAACACGAGGTCTTTATTCGATAGTCTGATTTAACACATTTTAAATTAAAATTCTTCAAAAAACCTTTAAAACATGTGTCATAAATTATTATTATTAATAACTATAACTATTATAGTAATTAATTATTATAATAATAATCATTATAGTAATTAATTATTGTAATAATAATCATTAGAGTAATTAATTATTATAATAATAATCATTATAGTAATTAATTATTATAATAATAATCATTATAGTAATTAATTATTATAATAATTATTATTATAGTTGTTATTAATAATGATAACTATAATAATACTAACTATAACTTCTTCTTCCTTTTCTTCTTGGGCACTACAGCCTAAGACAGGCCAAGGCCGTCCCAGTTTTTGCCATCTTGATCTATTCTGTACCATGGCCTTCCAGTTAGTTATTCCTATTATCTTTAGGTCCCTCTCAACTGCGTCCAGCTACCTAGTCGGTGGACGACCCCTTTTTCTTGTATCTTCTGGTTTAAAAAATATTACTTTTTTTGCTGGGATTTGGTCTTCAAATCAATAAAGGTGTCCCAGCCATCGAATGTGATTGGCCTTAATAATATAAACTATATCTGGTAGTTTATACTTTTTATATAACTCATGATTGTAAAGGGTGCTCCATTTGTTATTCTCATAGACTGCACCAAAAATTCTTCTAAGTATCCCTCTCTCAAAAATCATCAATTTGTTCTCCTCTTTTTTATTAAGAGTTCAGCACTCACTTCCATATAGGATCACAGGCCGTAGGAGTGTTTTGTATATGCTAATTTTTGTCTTTTGTTTAAGAAATTTATTTTTTAGTTGGCTTTTTAAACCAAAGTAGTACTTGTTTACCATTAATTAACTGTAACTAAAGTAATGTATTATTATAGTACGTTAATTATTATAGTAATAATTATTATGGTATATTAATTATTACAGTAATAATTATTATAGCTATTATCAAAATTATTATTATTATTTTTTATTAAACGAACAATTACTTTTCAGTAGGTTCTCTTGTCACGAATTATTTAATGAGTAACTTCTTTTAATTGAGAACCATAGTTGTTTGATTTAAGAATTTAATTTAATTTTGTAACAGCTTTTTAATTATTGATAAAATTAGAATGACTCGTATATGAATATTTCGTATATGAATATTAATTATTATAATAATAATAATTATTATAGTTATAATTAATAATGATAACTATAATAATACTAACTATAATAATAATAGCTATAATAATAATAACTATAACTATTAAAGTAACTAATTATTATAGTATATTAATTATTACAGTAATAATTATTATAGTTATTATCAAAACTATTATTTTTGTTTTTATAAAACGGACAGTTACTTTTTAGTAGGTTCTCCTAGCACGAATTATTTAATGAGTAACTTCTTTTAATCGAGAACCATAGTTGTTTGATTTTAGAATTTAATTTAATTTTGTAACAGCTTTTCAATTATTGATGAAATTAGAATGATTCGTATATGAATTTATCGTATATGAATAATAATTATTATCATATTAATTATTATAGTTATTATTAATAATGATAACTATAATAATACTAACTGAAATAGTAATAGCTATAATAATAATAACAACTATAACTATTAAAGCAATGAATTATTATAGTATCTTAATTATTACAGTAATAATTATTATAGTTATTATCAAAATTATTATAATTATTTTTATAAAACGGACAATTACTTTTTAGTAGGTTATCTTAGCACGAATTATTTAATGAGTAACTTCTTTTAAACGAGAACCATAGTTGTTTGATTTAAGAATTTAATTTAATTTAGCAACAGCTTTTTAATTATTGATAAAATTAGAATGACTCGTTTATGAATGCATCAAGGTAAAAAAATATTCGTGTTACGAATGATTTTCAATTTGATTCATGAATACAAGGATTTAAAAACATTATTAGAATGAAATTTAATTATATTGGAATTAAAAATGTTAATTACGAAGAATTGCACAAAAAAATACGATATATACAAAGAAACTCGATTTTCACTGGCTATCAAATTATTATGATGATTAGAATCATAGCAAAATAACTTGATGATTTGAAAACTTCATTTGTTGTGCTATTCCTCATATTTCTGAAGCAAATAAAGTTTTTAAATTATCAAATATTATTCCGCTTCAGTTTCTTAGGATTATTCATAATTCCAAAATAACTTTAAAATTTAAAAAAAAAATATATATTCCGCACGAAATAACATACGTAGTCTTATTTATTATCTTCTTGTAATGAAAAATTTAATTTTAAATTAAGGGAGCTAATTTCAATTACAAATATTATTAAGGGTGATGCCAACAATCGATTCAAGAATTCCAACTGACAAAAGTTCGGCAACAGAATGAAAATTGTTCTTTAAGTTATGTCTAATGGTAATTTAGCTGTTCATGTTATGTCTAATGGTAATTTAGCAATTCAAACAATAAATGAAATATAATTGTTTAAAAAATAAATTTGCATATTTTATTTAGTTTTTTAAAAAAATGTAAGGGGCAATATATTAAAAATGTAGTGATTTCGGACTGTAATGAAACTCTCAAAATGGCGAAACTCCTCTCTAGGCTGTCAACCCATCTGAGGTTGGGCCGTCTCCTAGCTCTTGTTCCAGAGGACCTGGTCAAGAATATTTTCTGTGTTGAAAGTTCTTTGTTCATTCTAATGACATGACCAGCCTATTTAATTCTTTGGATTATATTGATGACCTTGGGTTCTTTGAAGGCCTGATAAATTTCTAAGTTTGAGTGCTTGTGCCATAAGTTATCAACTTGTATTCCTCCGAAAGTAACTCTTAGTATCCGCCATTCAAAGGTTCCGAGAGAAGTTTCATTTTTTTTTGTGTCATTGTGTTTCTGATGAGTATGCGAGTATAATAACTAATGTAACGAAATAAAAGCAGAGTTAGAAATTTCGATAGAAAATAAAAAACAAACAAGCATAATAATTTCAGAATTTATGCATTTTTTAAATTTGATCACAAAACTGATAAAACTGATCACATTTAGCAAGGGCTAAATTGTTGGGGTTGCCTTCTTATGGACACTGTAGTTCATTCAATATTAGTTTAATTCAGAATATATATCTGTAACTGATCGTCAATACATTATTATAAGCTTTGTTATTGTTAAGACCGCCAATTTGACGGTTTTAGGTATAAATAGGCATAGGTTTTACAGGTCATAAAAGTGAAAAATGGCTGAGTTGTATTTGAATTGAAAAATATAACTGTTTTAATATTGCGTTATTATTATACTTATTATTATAGTTATTATTATTATAGTTATTATTATTATAGTTATTATTATCATTGTTATTAATAACTATAATTACTACTATAATAATATTACTATAATAATTACTACTATAATAATAATTCTATCTATAATAATTACTACTATAATCACTATACTAATTACTATATAATAATTACTATAACTATATAATAATAACTATATATAGTAATTATTATATACTAATTACTATATAATAATTAATTACATAATAATTACTACTATAATAATATTACTATAATAATTACTTATTACTACTACATAATTAATATACTATAATAATTAATTGCTATTACACTTAATTGCTATAATAGTTCTAGTTATTATAGTTGTTATCAAAGTTATTATGATTATTTTTATAAAACGGATAATTACTTTTTAATAGGTATTAATTATTTAATGAGTAACTTCTTTTAATCGAGCACTATAGTTATTGAAGTCGTCAAAAAATTCAGAACAATAGATGATTTATGTTAATTAGTTTGAAGAAATCACTTTGAAAACAGTCAAATTATGGTCTTGGTTCGAGTGTTAAGATAAGATTATCTTCCGTATTAAACTGCGTCCCTCAAAATCTTTTCAGAAAATGCCCCGCAGTTAAGACGATGAACGCATTAGGCGAATGTTACAAAATATCATTGCAAATGAAGCATCAGACGAACCTTTAAAATGATAAAATTTGAATGTACAACGCAGTTGCTATAACGATTGGTTTTAGTCTCGCTTAAACAAATCCCATATTTTGCATGTATTGAAGTAACCGCCAAGCGCATTTAAAAACGAGAATAAATCGCAATTGGCGAGCATTTTATTTCATTTAAAGATCGTTTAAAGTTTCTAGAAATGTTTTTTCCCACACTTTTACTCTCCAATTTCTCAATGTTTTTCTTTTTTTTATTGTTCAAATATTCAACGCAATTGCAGATGAGTGGAAATTGCTGCAATTGAATTTTATTCTGTCACTTAGAGCGCATTGAATTTCATCAACCATTTCCCTAGAAATTTTTCCCACACCAATCGAATCGCAGTTCTTTTTCTGCGTACTTGATTTTTGCTTTCAGAATGATAATTTAGCTGTGATTGTGAAAGAGTTTTTTACTATCGTACCCTATTAGTTTATAGTTAGTTATTAGTTATACCCTATTAGTTATCGTACCTCGTAGTTTATTACTATTTATACCCTCCCACAATTACGGAATTTTCATAGTTTTCGAAAATACCACATCAACTTATTAATACCATCTACCAAAATTAACTTTGCTACCACAGCAAAGATAATTTTTTAATGCTATAATAAAAAAGAAATTAAAATATTTTTCCACCTCTATATATAAATATTTTAAATTCATTACAAGAGGTCGAGCAAATAAATATCTTTAGCATGGAATCAGGGCTGAAAGTTTATGTGTATTCAGATTCAAAATTAACTTTGCTACCACAGCAAAGGTAATTTCTGAATGCTATGATAAATAAGAAATTAAAATATTTTGTCCACCTCTATATATAAATATTTTAAACTCATTACAGGAGGTCGAGTAAATAAATATCTTCAGCATGGAATCATGTCTAAAAGTTTATGTGTATTCAGACTTTTCGTTCTAGTTTGCTTTGGGGAAAAATTTAAATATCTATGACTATCAGGATTTTTCAACTTCTGTCAGACAAAAGAATGACTATTTTACCCGAGATAAAAAATATTAAAAGAATAGCTTACAGTTAAAAAAAGATTTAAGCCTCCAGAAAACTATCTATAAATGAAATCGCTTGATTACCAGTTTTTTCTCCTTTCCGGTCTCAATTTCAGGTCAGCAAAGAATTTTAAAATAAAAATATTACACACAACCCATCGGTAGCAGTTTTCTTACCGGGTGGTATATTATCCAAGAAGTGCTGTAAATATTGTACATAGCCTTTTTCCCCCTACATTTTATTACCATTCCTATATATCAGACTGTTGTAAACCGGGAGCAACTTACCAGAAGCTGCGAATAGCCGCGAGAGAGGTAGGTCCACCAGCCGTCCACCTATATTACCATAGATATTTTTCTACATTTTTGTTTTACTTTATTTTATAACTGTCGTTGAACAGCTGACTAAATTTTGAGTTTACTACTACCAATATTCAACTCCGTAAGTTTGTAATTTTGAACACAGCCCAGAAGACAAGGAAACTCCTGAATCAAGTATTGGGAGAAATTTGCCTATCTTCTGTAATAATTTCGTAGCTTTTCCGTTGCAATTCAATTGCTAGACTTGTACAGCAAGTATTTTGAGACTTTTACTATTGCCTGCGATGATTTTATTGAATTTTTGAGTTAATATTAGTAACATTTTCAGCCATTAGATGCACGAAAATTAATTGGAAAAAGAAATAAAAATCCCCAAAATATATTTTCCGTTGTAAGCTAAAAGCTAGATTTCGTAAAACAAGTATTTTGTGGCATCTATTATGATTTGTAATAATTTTATCTAATTTTTAAATAAGTATTGGTGAGATTTTCTTGACGGTAGTATTGACAGTATTGGTAATATTTCGCTTTCTTCTTCGCTTGTTAAAAACCATTGGATATGCGAAAAACAATGGGATAAAGAAACAAAATCTACGAGTCATTTTTTTGATAAAAAAAGTATGAACAAATATATTTTTAAACACAAGCTTGTACACAAAGTTTATTTTATTTAGGTTTGTGTTATTAAAATTTATTTTCTTAAGAAGTTGTTAATGGTCTTCTTATGGTAGTCAGAATTTTTTTGATTAAAAAAAGAACTCTTTCTTTCAGAGTATACTTTAATATGGTCAAGATAAACTGCAGTAGAAAGAGGTACCTCTTAGTTGGGGTAATCTCTTCAGCTTCTCTCATCGTTATGGTTGTTTGCATTTTATTTATTACTCAACGTAAGTATACATTTATATTGTTAATTTAAAAATTTTAATTAATATTTTTAGAAATACATCTAAATTGCCTGAATAAAATTAGGGTGTACTTTATACAACGCATGAATAAAGCAAAACAACTTAAATAAAGCACAATAAAGGTACAGAAATGGACATTCTACAGTTCCAGTTCTGTAAACAAAAACATCTGATGGGTGGAAACAAGATCTTTTGTGTTTGGACACTGAGAAAGGTTCTTTTTAATAGAATCTGAACTATAAGTCCCTTTTTGTTCCTTTATTTGTGCTTTATTCACGTGTTTTTTTAGCTATATTCCCATATAATCTAATTATGGGATCTATCTTTGATATTCTGTCATTACCCTGTACTTAATTCTGATTTATCTCATTTACAATTTTTTTTTGGATCTATAAAAAATACAAATTGTAAATGGTTTAATTTATATTCCGTGTTCACAATATTTTTGGAAAGTTTAATGGATGAATATGTAATTGAATACGTTAATATGAGTGTATGATAAATAATGCTAATTTCAACGAATTTAAAAAAGATCAGTTTTAGAAGATATAGAAACAACGGACAACTTTTCACAAAACATCTTTTTCCTATTGAAAATGGAATAATTTATAAACTTGATGGGGAAGAAATTAGTCATGTTCTGTACTTAAGGCTGAGAATATCGTGCGGTTAAAACCAAGAGTATGAGCGTTTTCACAAAGTCAATGGAACTTGCGGCTGAAACCAAAAGTATGAGCGTTTTCACGAAGTCATTGGCACTTTAACTAAGAAAGTGGGTAATGAGCTCGTTTTTCATAAAGATATGAACATAATTGCTGTTTCGCTTTTCTCACGCCTGAAAGATGAATTTAATGTTCATTTTCATAGTTTGGTGAAGTGAATATATTATTGAATGATATTCTTAATAATGTAATTGCTAACGATATTATTTAGTGAAGTCGTTTGTTGTTTTTCTATTGCCACTTGCCAATGCTAGCAAGCCTGCTTGGGAAACAAAGCGAATTTAAGGCAGAGGGAGAATTTCTTGTTTTTCAGTGGCGCCATCTATGGCCAAGAATACGATTTCAGCCACAGAAACACGTTACAGTCCGTTTTACCGAGTGGATCCATTCATACATCCACAGATCGTAATTTTGACCTGAACCAGAGAACGATCCATCTCCAATTCAGTATCCCCTGAGGTATTGATTTGTTATGGAAACGCGGAGGAATTCGTGACCCCGACAGATTCAACGCTCACCAGTCACCATTTAATACACAGGGTGTCTTCGGTCGGCGAGATTCGCAATCCTGTTCTCACGAACACGAGTCCCACGTCCTACCAACCAGACTAACCCAGCCTTTCGTGAAATATAATAACGATATGCGTTGATTTAGTACGTTGATGAATTACTTTGGTGTGAATAAGTCTTTTGAGGTTGTATAATTTAATCCAGGGAAACGTTGAACAGTGTTTTGAATGCTAAATGACCATTGTATTTGTTACCGTTGATGTGTGAAAATTGGGATTCTATAGAATGCCTAAAATGAAATGATTAATATTTCACACTTTGCCTAGGTATTCTTTAGAATGATTAAGAAAAAAATCTGTTAGCATTTTACACAATGTTTAGGCAAAGTATATGATCATTCTCATATCATATCTTATCTGCCTAAAAACGCTTTTCACATTCTATATAATGATTAGACATTTTATAGAATGCCGATGTATATTGACAGTTAAAAATGCATAGGTTGACAATAATTGAGCTATATATATAAAAAAAACCCCCTTCAATTTTTGAACCAATAGCGAAATTCAGTTTAAATGTTTTATTTGTGAGGATCGATATTTCTCGATATTTATTGTGCGCTATTATTGTTATTCTTTGTTTGCTGTGATGACGAAATACAGTGTTTTTGAGTATATATCGATCGTCACGGCCGCCATATTCGCCTGACTTCAACACCTGTGACTTATTTTTGTGGGGCAATATTGAATATAAAATTTACGGAAATGTCCTCAAATGTCTTTGGTATTCCGGAGATATGGAAAGCATACTTGTTTTGATACTACAAGTTTCTCACTATTTTATTAATCATTTGCGACACATTGGTGACAATCTTAGTGTCCCTTCAAGATTCCCTTGAATATCCGTTGTGCCCCCTGTAGTGTCCATTTTGTGTCCCTGCAAGACCCTTTCAGATCGATGAATGTAGATGATACAACCTCTACATTTGGAAGCTACCACTTTTTATGATGCAATAATAATAGGTAAGCATGTTTAAGATATTAATGTATTTTGTGGTGCATGGTTTTATTATAGCATGCAAGATATATTTCAGTTTTAAGTTTCAGTTTTGCACAGTTCCATTTGTTTTGAGCACTAAAGGTTTTAAGAAAATACAATATTAATTTTCGAGCAAACGAAAAAAAAAAAAAAAAAAAAAAAAAAAAAAAAAAAAAAAAAAAAAAAAAAAAAATNAAAAAAAAAAAAAAAACTAATCGGTGAATTCCAATTCAGATTTTTTTATCGTTGATAAAAACAACCACAAACGAAATCATGTTTAAACAAAATTTTAACTAGTTTTAACTAAAATTAGCCATAACCTAAAATTAACCTGGCCGCGATGGCTCAAGGGATAGAGCGTTCGCCTTCCAATGAGATGAACCGGGGTTCGATCCCGGCGATGGTTGGTCGATAAGAATTCCGCATCCGGCTTGCACCGACCACAGTGCTGAGGAGAAATATTCTCAGTGGTAGATGGATCATGGGTTAGAGTCCACTTGCCGTCAGGCTAACAGTGATAGGTTCTCGTCTTCTTCCTCTCCACGTAACGCAAATGCGGGTTAGTACCATCAAAAAGTCCTCCACGAATTCAAATTTCTCCCAATACTTGATCCAGGAGTTCCCTTGTCTTCTGGATTGGGTTCAAAATTACAAGGCTACGGAGTTGAATGTTAGTAGCCGTAAACCCAAAAATTGGGTCGGCTATTCAATGACGGTTATAAAATAAAAATTAACCATAATAACAAATACTTTAGGTAATTATAGAATAACTGCCAACTGTTCCAGTTTTCAAGAGGTTTTTCTTTTCATATTTGCAGCAGAATTTCTTTTTTATTAAAATGGCAGCAAAATTTAAGTTTTGATATTTCAATTTTAATATAATCAATTTGGTTCAAAATGATTTTGGCATCCATTGTGCATAAATAATTTAAAAATTCAATTTGTTTTGATAATCTTTTTATGAGGTTTTAAAGTCCTAATGAATTTGAAGGAAAATCTGCTCAGAATAATCAATAAAACTGTAATTGTGTTACCATATGAAAAACGTTTTTCAACAAGTGCAAACGTTGGCAGCTATGTTAGAGTGATGTGATTGCTCCGTTAAATGCATAAAATAATTAAGAAAATAACAGATTTTTTTTAAAACATTTAAATTTAAATAATTTTATCTTAAGTAAAATCTTATGTATATTAATTAAAAAAATTGATGAAATTTATACATTGTAAACAATTTTGAAAAAAATGAAAATATAATTAATAATTTTTTAAAAAGAAAAAATTTATACGAGTTTTGCGAACATGTTTTGCTATAAAATATTCACTATCATTTTAAAATTAATATATTACATTTACATTAAGATTTCTACTGCTATGTTTAAATAAATCTAAATTACATTCTACTATTTTTCTAATTGAAAGTGATAGAGGATTGCTAATATTTTTATTACAATTCATTTCAAATTTTAATATTTAGATTCTTTCCTTTTGATTAAATCAAATTATTTTTGATCAGATATTAAACCAGATTATAGTGTATATCTAGTTTTAAACAAAAATTTTATGTGATATAAATATTATGTAATATTCATTCAACTTTCTATGAGAGTTTAAAATTTAAATAATGATTTGATTAATCATATCACATCAAATTATTTGACATCAGATATCAAATCAGATCACGCACATAAATTTTTCAATTAACGGAATATAAATAATACAGAATAAGTTAAAAATTAGACATAATTTTCTCTCTATCTTCTATAAGAGCTTAATACTTAGAGTTTATTTTTATAATTCTTTCTTTATTAATGTGTATTTATTAACATTAATTATTAATACTTCTTACAAATGTTACAAATGTGTATTTATTAACATTAATTATTATTACTTCTTACAAATGTTAATACTTCTTAAAAATGTTATTATTACTTCTTACAAATGTTAATACTTCTTACAAATGTTATTATTACTCCGTACAAATGATAATACTTCTTACAAATGTTATTACAAATATTATTTTACAAATGTTAATTGAAAAAATATATAACTCCTTGATAATTTTATTCCAGTTTTCTATTTGAGTTGAATGACTATTGTTTGTTCAATGTAATTAATAATAAGAACATACATAATGCTTTTCTCATGGCGCTTAATTGGGGTGCAAATGAAATGTAGCTAATATGATTATTTTTTTTTAGGAATAAAAGAATCCAATAATAAGAGAGATGTGTATTCATATACGAATGATACTTTAGTAAGTATTTTTCCTCTTTGTCTTTAGAGTGAAAAAAAGCAGAATATAGAGTAGAAATATAATAAAATAGTAATATAATGATTATGTATAATAGTAAAATAATATAATATAATAATACAATATAATATAATTTAACAATAAAATATTCGTAATAATATAACAATAAATTAATAATGTTATAATAAAATATTATTTCTTCTTGATAAAATTTCATTTTGATTTTAAGATTTATTTGTTTAAATGATTTTGCAGATAAGTATTACTGGGAAAATTAGTATATAACAATTAAAAAAAATTGCTATGGTTAAAGTTAATTTTTTCTTGACTTAATTCTCACTTCTATTGCTCCAATTTCAGCAAAAGAGTTTTATAATATGCTCCAGATTTAAAGATTAGAGCTTGCAGATTTTGCCGACAGTTAAAAAGCTTCACAATGAGATTATTGGAAAAACAATGGC